ATGCTGTACAGAGGCCATATCTTTTTGTACTAGGGTCTGTATTCAAGGTGGTCTGTAGTGTGTTGCAGGTGTCTTCTGATGTCCAAATGATCTCCCTTACAAGTACTATGTTGATGCCTTCTCTTACCTGGATTGGCCATTGGGAACTTTCCTTAGCCTGCTTGTGGGGGAAAGTGATATTGTAGGCTGATGAGGGATGAGAGATTGCAGTTACATGCCTGTCTGTAGTTACATTTGTGAATATATATCTGAATACTCCTCATGGTATACTGGGATATGATATGATGTGATTGCAACACAACTGCTGTCTAATATGACAGGATACTGTCTAATGGGCAATAATTATGTCTAATTAGCTAGGGGACAAACCTAACTTGTCTAATTAGATACGACTGCATAATGCAGCTAATCCTGCATGATTAGGCAGGATTAGACATAATTAGACATAATTAGCTCAGGAGGGTTTTCCTGATGTTGGCATTTACAGTCCCTCGGGTAGATATCTGGTTACCTCACCCGCGCGTTTGTAGGGTTCCCGAGCGCCTGATGTGCTTCTTTGACCCTCAGATATTACTAACAATAGCATAGATTATATTTGCAAGTATATCCAATATTTGAAGCACGGGAGGCGTGTATCTGGCCCTCCAGCAGGCCGGGATGGACGGGGAATGGAGAGGCCGGGGTCCCAAATGGCGTGGGAACTGGGACTGTAATGGACTGTGGCTCCCCCGCCACAGGACCGTAGATCTCACGGAAGAAACCCCTTTAAATATTGATGTAGATATAAGACAGGACTTTATCAATACTGTGTATGTGTCCGTACGCGTCAAGACTGGCATTCCGCAACTTGACCAGTCACCAGACACTAGTACCTCGAATACTCGATGGTTTCTGACTGGAGTCGGGGATTGGCGCTTGCGCCGCTACGATAGTTTTAGTACGTGATCAGGAAAAGCCCGAAGCCCTAATCGCCTATGGTGGCTGGCTTAGTACGAAAAGTAGAGCCCGAAAGCAACCTGAATGATAATATTTGGTATTTGATGGCTCAATTCCCGAAAAGCAGAGACCTTGCTAGTCGCAAGGTGATATACCAGATTTGACACGGTCACGCTCGGAAGCACGAACGCTCAGACTCCAGACCCTGCTGAGGCAGCTGCACTGCATGGACCACGTCCATTTACTGGGAAAAGACAATCCTGACCACCAACACAACACAGACCACAGGGTGACACAACCATGGCCGCCCCATCTCAGCCCGAAAAGAGCATCCTCGATCTGATTGACACCTGCGACAACTTCCGCCTCTCCTCGTGTCCCGAGCGGCTCGTTCCCTGGCGGCTCTCGCCCTCGCCGAGCAGCCCCGTCGTCGGCCTACTGCGCCCGCCCATCGTGCAGAAGTTACAGGCCGAGCCGTCCGGCGCGTGGCACATCGCCGGCGTGAACGGGATTACGGGCGTGAGCTTCGACGAGAAGGTGTCCGCGCCCGCGCAGCGCACGGCGGTGATGCGCGAGCTGTGTGCGCGCTGGCGCGACGAGGGGTTCGCGCCGGGCGTGATTGGCCCGGCCAAGTGGCGGGGGGAGATGTATCCCGTGTATGCGCGCCCGTTCGGCGCAAGGGGGAGGGAGGGGAACGGGAATTATGTGTGCGAGATGGAGCGGAGCGCGTGTGCGCTGTTTGGGGTGGTCACGTATGGGGTGCATATGACGGTGTACGAGGAGGATGAGCGGGGTGTGAGGGTGTGGGTGCCGACGCGCGCGAAGAGCAAGCCTACGTGCGTACGCTCGATTTTCTCCCTACCGTGCCTGGTCTGAGCTCGTTCCAGCTGGCCCGGCTTTCTGGACAACAGCGTCGCAGGTGGTATTCCCTCTGGCATGGGCGCGTTCGAGGCGCTCGTGAAGGAGTCGATGGAGGAGGCGAGCATCGACGCCGACATTGTGCGCGCGCACGCGACCGCGGTCGGGGCTATTTCATACTTCTTCCAGTACGTGCGTCGTCCCCTCTAGAGGCCCACCCCTTGTTCCTGCTCCCGCCGACTCATGCGTGCCCGCGCAGGACGAAAGACGGCTGGTTGCAGCCGGAGATCGAGTTCGTGTACGATCTGCGCGTGCCCGCGGGCTTGGGCGAGCAGGAGAGGGAGCGGTTCCGGCCGAAGCCGCTCGACGGTGAGGTCGAGGCGTTCGAGGTACCGTCTCCCCCCGCGTTCCCTGTCAATATTACATCGTAGCCTAACCCGCATTTGAATCCCGTATAGCTCCTCCCCCTGGATGAAGTCCTCACCCGCATGCGCGCTGGGCTGTTCAAGCCGAACTGTGCGCTGGGTACGTTCGTTCTTCTCTGCCTCATGCTCAGATTCGACACAATGTACTTCATTCTGATACATCCCCTTCGTCCGCGCAGTCATCATCGACTTCCTGATGCGCAGGGGGTTCATTACGCCTGACAACGAGCCGGACTACATGGAGATCCTCACGCGGCTGCATTCGCGGTTCGAGTACGAGCGGTGGGGCGAGCTGGGCGCGTAGCAGTGGACGTATGAAGATAGAAAGATGAAAGGAAGAAGCTGAGTATGATAGGTAAGATAGACGGTGTACTGACTCCCTTGGACGATATATACATAACCCGAGAACAGGGAAAGTCCATAACTCACCATACGTGCAGTGAACAGACCGTGTGTAATAAGGTTCACTGGCAGGCCATCACCAAACAATGCAGTCGGACGCACAACGCCGCTCGGTTCCCAGCACCCTGTCAACCCGAATAAGATATGTGAACGTCAAACCAACTCGCTTCCCCAATCGCGCATCCAATCAAGCAAGCCATCCGTCAAACGCGCCTGTTCGTCCCTACGCTACTCGCTCCCACCCGTATATAACTGCCCCTCGCGCCCCGGCGCCCCCCTCACCACCACCATGTCCTCCAGCTCCGCACGCGTGCGCGCCGCCGACGCGCCGTCCTTCGTCGTGCTCAACGGCGCCTCGCGCCTGCTATCGGGCCTGGCTTCGAAGGCGGTGACGATCGTCACCTACGCGCTCGTGTTCGCGGCGGACTTTGTGCTCGCGCTGCTGAACTTGGTGCTGCCGGAGAAGAAGGAGGGGGAGGTGGGTCCCGGGCGCGGGGGCCTGTGGCCGGAGTACCGCGCCCCGGATTTTGGGCAGGAGAAGCCGGACAGCAGGTGCTCGTGCCCCGCGCTCAACGCGCTCGCGAACCACGGTGAGGCCACCCCAATCCCGCACGCGCACGCTCCTCTCCTCTTACCTTGCTCATTGCGATACCGCAGGCATTCTGCCCCGCAGCGGGCGGCGCATCCCGTTCCAGCAGCTGACGCGCGTCATCCGGGAGACGTACAACTTCGGGCCGACGTTCTGCTTCTTCGTGCCGTGGTACGCGGCGGGGCTGCTGGGCCGGAGCTACTGGGCGGACTCGTTCGACCTCGCGGACCTGGACGTGCACAACGGGATCGAGCACGACGCGAGCCTGACGCGTGCGTCCTTGCGTCGCTGCGCGTTGCCTGCTCACAAAGCTGATGTACTCTACCTCTGCACAGGCGACGACACGGCGCACGCGCGGGACCAGGGCGTGCCCGCGCCGCACCTCGTCGAGTTCCTGCTCGCGCACGCGAGCGGGCCGCCGCACGACGGCGCGCCGACGCTCACGGCCGCGGACCTGTCCGAGGTGTCGGGCAAGCGGCGCGTCAACGCGCGCGCGAAGAACGGGCAGTTCTCGCTCAGCGCGTTCCACAAGATGTTCGGGTCGTCCAAGTGCGTCTTCCGCCCCCCCCTTCCCCCCCTCAGCTTCAACGGTGGTGGTTGACGCGAAGTGGGTGACAACAGCTCCGCGACGCTGCTGACGATCTTCGGCGGGTCGCTCCCCGACCTGCGCGCGCTGCTGCTGGAGGAGCGCCTCCCGCGCGGGTGGGCGCCGCGCTGCCGGCGCGCGCTCGGGCTGACGTTCGCCGAGTTCAACGCGACGGTGCTGCGCATCGAGGCGGGCGTGCACGAGGAGCACGACGTGATGATGTGGCGCGTCGGGCGCCCGCGCGCGCTGGCGGAGAAGATGGAGGAGTGGATGGAGGGGAAGCTGGATAGCGCGATGGGGATGGGCGCGGGGGAGGCGCTCAGGAGCGATTCGGGGGTGTTTGTGGAGAGGAAGGATGAGTAGAGCCTGGGGAGGCGCGTCTATGCGAGATATGATACCCTTTGCAGTGCTGCGAGACAGGTGGAGATGATGCTATCATTCATTCTGCTTTGACTGGCCTGTCGACGCTCTCTGAGACGTAAAGCGCGCGTGATAAGGACTCTGCGAGCTTCTGGCACCGTCATGGTACTGGCGGTGTCTGCTGTCTATCAGCATGTATTATATGCCATACTGGATTCACGTTGCCGTCTTGTTCCAGCAGCCACATCCACCCAATCAGGAAACCCCCTTCCCAATCCGTCGTGTTCACCAATTTCGCTTGAAATGACGTCACCCTCACGCCTTGCACTCTACCCAAGCATCTCGAACACCCCTCGCCTATAGCTACCTCCCCACCAACCCAACCCCAATAAAAACGCACGTCATGCCCGCGCGGGACGTCTCGCACCGCGCCCAACTCGTCCTCGCCGCGCTCACCGCGGCGCTCGCCACCGCGTCCGTCCTCGCGCTGTACGACCGGCACCGCCGGCGCGCGGCGCGGCGCGCGCTGGACGAGGAGGTGCGGAGGTCGATCGCGGCGCACGAGCCGAGGGAGGATGTGAGCGTGCGGGTGGGCCGGGGGGCGTCGTCGCTTCGAAATATGGGAGAGAAGGAGGGGGAACGGGAGACGGGGAGGGATGGGGATGGGGGAGCGGGGCTGGAGTACGACGAGGAGCTGATACGCGAGCAGCTCGCGCGGAACTATGCGTTTTTCGGGGAGGAGGGGATGCGGGGGGTGCGAGGGGGCCGCGTGGTGGTCGTCGGGTGCGGGGGCGTGGGCAGCTGGGCGGCGGTGATGCTCGCCAGGTCGTGCGTGTCCCTTCTTTCTTCCTTTCCTCGCCTCGCCTCGCCTCCCCGTCCCCTCGTACTAACCAACCAACCAACCCACCGGCAGCGGCGTCGCCAAGCTGCGCCTCGTCGACTTTGACTACGTCACGCTCTCCTCGCTCAACCGGCACGCGACCGCGACGCTGGGCGACGTCGGCACGCCCAAGGTCAGGTGCGTGCAGCGCGCGCTGCGGCAGGTATGCAAGTGGCTCGACGTCGAGGCGTGCGTGGATATCTGGCGCAAGGAGGAGGGGGGCCGGTATCTGGAGGGCGTGGATTGGGTTGTCGGTGCGTTTTGGGGGACGGGGGAAGGGAAGGGGAAAGGGTGCTGATGGGGATACAGATGCGATAGATAATATAGCGACCAAGGTGGATCTGCTGCACTACTGCCACGCGCACGACATCAAGGTGCGTCTCCCCTCCTGCCTCCCCTCCGCCCGTTCCGGCCCTGGCCCTGAGTTGAATCGGCAGGTGTTCTCGTCGATGGGCGCGGGTGCGAAGAGCGACCCGACGCGCGTGCAGATCTCGGATATCTCGTACACGATCTACGACCCCCTGGCGAGGTCGGTGCGCCGGCGGCTGCGCGTGCTCGGGGTGGCGAGCGGTGCGTGCCCTCCTCCACGTCCGAATGTATGCATGGATGAAAGCTGAATGAACGTGCCAGGGATCCCGGTGGTGTACTCGACGGAGGTGCCGGGGGACGTGCGGCTGCTGCCGCTGCCGGAGGCGGAGTTCGCGAGGGGGAACGTGAAGGAGCTGAACGTGTTTGATGATTTTCGGGTGCGGATACTGCCTGTGATCGGTGAGCGCGCGCCTGCCCGTCGCCTCTTCCCTCCACCGCCTTTTGGTTAATGCAGGCAATTGCACGCAGGCCCGCTGCCGTCGATTTTCGGATTGCACATTGCGACGTATATACTGTGCGAGTTGGCGGGGAGGCCGATTGCGAACCCGCTGCCGATCAAGAACCGGCGGAAGCTGTATGAGAGGCTGTGGAGGGATTTGCTGACGAGGGAGTCGCGGTTGGCCGGGGAGCAGCTGAAGTACGTGTTCGCGAAATCGTTCCCTGCCGTTTGCTCATACTTACCTGCACCGCCTAAACCAGCCGGCTCCCGATAGACGAAGACGACGTGTCGTTGATCTTCGAAGACGTGCACCTGGGCCGGTCGGTGGTGCCGCCGCACGCGGTGCCGACGAAGGCGGTGCTCGTGCGGTGGGACCCGAGGGAGGAGGTGAGCGTGGAGAACGTGGTGGTGATGGAGGGGAGGGAGGCGGAGCGGCATGTGCGGGAGTGCTGGGATCTGGGGCGGCGGCCGGGGGAGGTGTGGGGGGCGGCGGTGGAGGGGGTGGTGAGGAGGAGAGCGGAGGAGGTGCGGAGGGCGAGGGCGGCGGTGCTGGGGTAGGCCGTGGAGGCTTGCTTTGCGTCCACGCGACGAGTATTTGGGCTTTGCAGGTGACGAGTTGGATCGTGTTTGAATGGATGCTTCGATGTCCGCCGTGTGCGTTATTTATATGCCTTGTCTGATCGATCGACGTGTGGCTATCAGGATCGTCGCGCGTTCGCCTCCGCCAATGGCATGCGAGTTCCTTCTGGAGCGCGGATCTATTCTCCAGTGGTGTAGTCAGTTGCCGCTTTGCGCTAGGATGCCTCCCCCTAACCTCGCCCCACTCCCCGACCACCCGTACCTCACAGCCTCCGCGCTCGGCGTCGGTTCGTGCCGTTTTCGACTGGTTCGTGTTTGCTCCCCTCTTTTCCTTTCCTGTCCTTTCCTCGCCTTCGCCTTTCCCCCCGCCCCCCTACGTGCACTCACCGCGACCCCCTCGCAGGCACCTACGGCTGCGCGGGCAAGTCCCTCGCGCTCACCGAGCTGCGCCTCGCGCGGGCGCGGGAGGAGTTCCTGGAGAGGCCGGGGATCAGGGACTGTTTTACGGTGGAGATGCTGCCGGTGAGGGTTGTGCTGGAGAGGCGGGGGGGAGGGGGGGAGGGTGGTACGTGTTTGATGAAGGAGCGCGCGCGGGCGTGAGGGAGGACGGGACGCCACAGCTACTCGATATGGTATGGGTATTGCCGTTTATGGACGTAGTGGCGTTTTGTGTACCAGTAAGAGCCAGACTGCTAACTTATGCACGCGTACGGGCGGGTGGATAAGGCTTAGGAATGTAAGCAGGGTTGTCCTTGAGCGGCGTTGCAGTACTAGTCGTCATTCTCGTACACGCGAAACAGGGAACAAACTCGCCCGTCTACGAACGCGCCCCCATACCTTCTGCGGCGCCGGCACGTAGGATATCTGATTTCCTCCGGGGAAGGCTGGACGTCGACGGCGCCTGCACGAGCCTCTCATCAGCGGTGAATCACCATCCGAAGTGGACCTGTCTACCTGCGATATCGTGCAGATGCTCCACCTTGGTAGCGCCGACGTCAGCGTGGTCACTCAGACAGGCGCGGATGTTGAGTACACACCCTCTTCGAGAGCGCGATGCTGGCTTGCGCCATGCTGATCCCTCGCTGCGTCGCTATCTCCCCGACTCTGGGGAGCTCACGGTCATCGAGTGCTGGACTCGCGTGCCGGCTGGGTGCATCGCTCTGGAGAAACTGGTGGGTCGCGCTTACGGCTAAGCTAAGGAGGGCTGAAGCTGGGCCGTCTCTTGTAGGGTCTGGTGAGGACTCGGAGGCCCATCGCGAGGGGAGACCAGATGAGCGACCCGGCTCCGAACGTCTGCATAGCATAGGCGCAGTTGTGAATGGGCGATAGTGATATGGCTGGCTGATGGAGCTTGAGCGTCGGGTACATCCCGCGCTCCTCTGCGCGGTACAGGGGGGTGTAGTGGTGCTGTATCGACACGCACGGGCTGAGGTCGTGCGCGATGGCGTAGTCTGCCCATCTTCGGTGTGTCACGGAGCACGCATGGGAACAGGGGAGAAGTGGATTATTGGCGTACTTTGCATGGCCTGGACTGATGAGTGTGAGCTGTGGCCGGAACGATGGTGGGTGTTATCGCTTACACTGGCACGCGTGGCACGAGCTCATCCCGATGTACCGCACCCATCCAGCTTGCACGACGTCGTGGAGGGCTTCCATCTGTGTTTGTGCTGTGAGGAGGGGTCGGAGTGTTGAGCTGGGCGACGGTATCGTACTGTTTCCTCGGTTGGCGTACATACCATAGTCGAAGCGGTGGCCTATACAGTGATTCAACGCATGTGGGCAGCCGCCCTATAATGAAACACGTTTACATTGCAGAACGTCGATACAGTCTGTTTGGGGTCTCTAAAGGCTCTGTTTGACCGCGTCTAAAATATGCTGGGCTCGATTTAGCTATTAATGGGCTTTGTTGGGCTCGTAGCAAAAAGGGCTTGCTTTGCGACCCAGGCCGTGTTGATTTCCGTAGCTGCAAGCGTCGAGAAATGACGGTACTGGCGGGAGCTTGGTGTCATAATCCTTTGCTACCGCTCCCACACCTGGTAAATGAGGCGCCGCGTGAGTCTGCGATCTGGTCGCCTAATTCGTTATATGGAGCAGGCAGGTCTGACCTTTGTCATGATGACGACCTCCCCCCCGCGGAAGGCCCAGCCTCTTGATCGTCTTCCCCAGTCACATTTCGGACAACCTGTTCGAGTACATCCAGTGATGTTGCAGCAAAAAGGGGTGTGGGACGTTGCCAGTGCTTACATTGGAAGTGGCAAAGGCATTGATGCCAAGGTGATAGCTTTGTGGCCCTTGTGAGCTACCGCTGGCCTTAAGCTTCGGGAAGATCAACATACGCTGTTTGGATGTGCTCAGCTACTTCGTCCTCGTCATTCGTGACCCAGTCTAGCCATTCGAGCTCCCGTAGCCCGAGCAGCCAAGGATTATCCGAGATACCTTCAAGCCCGCATGACGTGGTCGCACTAGTAGCACACGTCGAGAGATGTCAGAATTCCAAGCCAGAAGATTAGGCACTCTTGACGCTTACCGTACGGCACTTTCTTGGGTCCCTCGTCGTTGCTAGGCATGATCGCGTCTGAAACTAGGATCAACCGGGGAAAAGAATGTTGTTAGGACCCAGGAAGCTACTGTACTATGGGTTAGTTATTGTACGCGACGCTTCACGGACTATATGCACGGCTGCCGGTACATCCATGTCTAACCCGAAAAGTCATACCTGAGGAGTTCGGCGCCGTACATCTTGTTCCTTTCCAAAGACTTACTCATATACCCCGATGAATCGGGGTTACGCGGCTGATCAAGCGGGTGAGCATCGGACGACCACGTACTACTAGTACACTGGCAGAGACACGACCCGAGCACAAGGCTGAGTTGGTTTCATCGCCCTTGCCTCTGGAATGTGACATCCGAAAATACACTTTCCCCTGCAAAGCCTCCTGCTTGGTCTTAATACTGAGAGCACAGTCAAGACCAGTAGCTCCAGTACAGTCAGTAGTCACTAGCATGTCCAGGTATACAGAAGGACCGTCCAATAGCAGATGGACTCACCGCCCAAGATACGAACATTAACTTGCTAGAGACTCAGAGATCAACAGACAGAACCTGCCAGTATCACATAGAAAAAGAATCAATATCCGAGTCATCACCAAATTATGTCCAGATTTTTATGTATCCGTCAAGGATCGAGAAGACTAAGCACCGAGAATGAAAACTTGCCCAATCATGCAATGTTGAAGTCTATCAGAACTATAGGATGTCTCTGAAGCACGCGGGATTCATCTTCATCCAGCCTGAGGCCTGAGGGCTCGCAGTGCACCAGGCACCCGATCCTCGAATCCTGAGTAGGTCTGCAGTGTTGCAATGTCCGCGGTCTCGACGCAAGGGTATTGAGCAGGGATAACTACAGAATCATGCGACGCGGCAAAATGCGTTTCAGTGAGCTTATTATCCGAGCAGACTAACTCCCGTTACGTATTAATTTCAAGGGAGACAGATATGCATAGGTCCAGGTCAAACAGGATTGAAATCTCAGGTATACGTGCACTTACCGCGAGGGGTCAGGTGTTTGTCCAGCTTCACGTTTCGGCTCTCGCAACGAATGGCAAGCAGGTCTATTCTTGACACAGAGTGTTCCGTATCTTCGCACCCTTCCCAAACTTCCGAATCTCCTACGATTGCCAACAGCTTCAGGAAGGGAAGTACTGAGGGGTCGCTGATAAAATTTGTAATGATGAAAGTAAACTCGCGTTCTATCTCCTGAGCTTTGTGGAGTTCATCTATGTCGAGGGAATGGGGCCCACAGATAATGGTGAGATCACGGAGCTGCCAAGCTCGCTCAAGACCTGCCGGGGTGACCTCCGCTTCGACGCGGGCCAACATATGCAAATTGATAGTGAGAGACCTCAAGGCAGGGAGGGCTGAAAAGTCCAGCCGCCCGAGAATGTTATATAAGCATCCCTGTCCCCCTCCAATCTTCAGGGACTCGAGTGTAACAAGGGACTTCGACTGCAAAGCATCTAGCAGACTGAAGAAGGACCCGATGACGACCGCGCCTGTCAGTTCCAGTATCCGCAGGTCGGAATTGTGTATCCAAGGATAAGTGTCTCGCGTAAAACGACAGAGCACAAAGCGGAGCGTTCGAAGAGCCGGCAGCCTGGGCCACTGTATCGGCGGTAGTTCCAAGAGTGTCAAGCAAAGCTCTTCCAGGTGGGGGAGTTCAAGAGAAGTGCCGAGGAACTCCGGATGCAAGGGAGGCAAGTGCAGGCAGGGCGAGGGCATGCTAAGATTTACACATTCGAGGCGCCCGTTTAACGTAAGACTTCGGATGCGCGATGAGATTCCCAGCGCAGAGAGTTGAATTTCGGGCTTGAAAAATGGCAGCTGTATGATCAGAGATGTCACGGATGGGCAAGCGTCGAGGAGGGCCCGGAGACGGCGCTCGTATCGTGTTTTGGCCATCATGGCTTGGAGGCTCAGGCGCCCGCTGGAGACATTCTCAACCAAGTACAGGGACTGCACCGCACGCGCGAGTTCGGGATTCCCTGTCAGAGTGCTAGCCAAGCTGTCTACGTCGTCGAGCGTTTTGAGCGCTGCCGCGGTATAGAGAAGGCTTCTCGCCGGAATATACCAATTTTGGCAGACGAGAAGAAGAGGGGAAAGGATTTTTTGGTTGTGTAGTGTCTTGGCTCGCTGATTCTCCACGAATGTGGACAGTGGCATTCCAGGTGGAGGCCCGATGGCGTGGTGCGGACGCCCGTACTCCGACTGATTTTCCAAGCATTCCCTGATGATAGGCAGCATCAACTCGTACGGCAGGGTCTGAGCAATGCTGTATACGTAGCTTGCATGCGCTGAGATTGTCTTTTCCTTGAAGAAGACCCGATGAAATGTTGGAACCACGAGTCTTTTCCGAGACATTCCTTCAAACGTTAACTAGTGGTGGAGAGCGACCAGAATGAATGCCGACTCGGATAAGTATCCTCGCAGTCGACTGACACACTGTGTGACTCGATGAACAAGTCAGTCCCGTCTGTTCCTCAGTACGCCAGCGAGCCATCTCACCTTCCACGCCAGCTCAACAGGCTGCAACGTTCTGAGCAGAATGACTGACACCCGAGACGTGGCCATCCCAGTTCGGGAATACCTCTTGAGCTTCGATATACGTAAAGTACACTAGACTACATCTCATCACCACTTTAAAAAGTCGCATATGGTCGGAGTGCGTGCCAGGGACGTCGGAGGACCGAAAAGAAGTCTAGATGGTCACACTTTGACACCTCGGGGACTTGATTTCCCCTCTCCGACATGGTCCGACTGTAAATGTGGGCCCATCGAACTGCAAATGGCTGTAATAGCACCGGTTTCGCATTGGGTTTGCAGGCCCTCGTATCTTAGTATGTATCCTGCATTACAGCCGTTTGCAGATTGATGGGCCCACTTTTCAAAAAGCATTTACAGTCGCACCACGTCGGACAAGCAATTGTAAGTCCCCGAGAGACGGAAACCAGACCATTTGGACTTCCCCACCTTCTTCCGACGTCCCTGGCACCCACTCCGACCCACTCCGACTATACGCGATTTTCTGAATTGGTGGTCTATCGATCTGCAAACGGCTGTAGAAGAACATATGCACTCCTTGAGTCGTCTGTACCCTGAACTATCCACTACGGGTGCGGCCGACTCATTAACTGAATACTTCTCGCACTTTACTGCTGTTGTACCGGGGAAGATGGAGGTCTCCTACTTTAATCTAACAGAAGACAGGCTCGCACCACCGGCACAGGAACTCTTCCGGAGATGGGTCGGTTCTGTCCACTTGTGACTCTAGGTGCAGAATCTCGGGATGTGGGTAGGGATATGCAAGCATCAACACAGCGCAGAGAAGACAGTCCCTCGAGTCCATCCTAACATCAGCTGTCCGCGGAAGAGTACTAGTGGGGACCCGCGAAGATCCCGTCGAAGACCGGCAGTGATTGGGTGGGGCGAACGTTGTGGAGCCTTGGCGGCCGTCGTAGTTGTAATGAATGGAATGACTGGGGGTGCTACGAGAAAGCGTTACAGAGGACGTCCCCTCTGAGAACAAAGGACTATCGGCCAAACTTACAGCATCGCGGCCCTCATGACCATGTCCTTAAGGTGACCACCAGTGAACTCTGCCCCCACTGCATGGCTGCCAGGGCTGTAGACGGGAGAGCTATAGGAGCGGCTGCGTGAAAGGTGTACAATCCAAGCTCGAGCAGCCCTGGTTTCCCGCTGGGATTGAAAAGGGCCACAGTGGGCCGTCCTGTCGCCAGGAAACATACGGCGCATCGTGAAGTCCCGACCGAGTAACCGCACAAGTGTAAAAGGTACGCGTACATTCACTGCACCATTCCATACAGTCCACATCCCAGACATCACATCCCAGATGCAAGCGCAGACTCCAAACAAGGACCGGGGAGTCTGTTCTTGCGTCTGAGATAAGAGTGCGAGCTGCTGCAAGGAAGCTTCCCTGTTGGTGTCCAGGTTAGGAACCTGCCTTGGGCCAATATGTTCAAATGCACCGGAGGACTGCCTGACTACGAACAGGCTCACTATCTGACACGAGAACGTGATTAATCAAAGGCTTCAAAGGAAAGGCTTCTACGGAGGTCTTGACCGGATCCATCCGGCGGATCTCAGCACCAGCCACAGCCCTCTCGCCGATTCCTTGCTCGGTAGACCGCGGCGTCTCGGCTGGAGCAAAGTAGCACACGTCCACAGCGTTGCCAGTGAGGATAAAAAAATGTTCTTCTTGGAGGACGAGATATCGCGGTGGGGAAGCAAGCAACCGGCGCAATACTGAGACGACCATCGCCCTGGAGTTCACGTCGGCATGCCAAACGTATCTGCTTGCGTGCGCTCCTCCCGCGCCGTGACGAAAGCCCACGTACCAGATAACCGTGCCGTTGGATGCCGCATCCCGGGGACTTCTCACAGGTTACCGGGACTGCGTATATGGGTGTGTGGGTGTACGACTCCGCGAAGAGATCAGCGCCCCGGACAATCGGTAGTGGTAAACTCACTCAGTGGAAGAAAATAGGATGAGCTTCGCGAAGAGCCGTGGTAGATGGTTAAGTATGTGCGTACGCAGGAAGGCTTTTGTTGACCAGGGTACGTGGTGTCCCGCCTGAACAGGGAAGCCTCGGGGAGTCTCGCCAGTAGGGACCCTCTGTCGCAGGCTCCGTGCTCCCACAGCGCAGACAAAATTAAATGGGATTCCCGGACGGGACTTCTGGTCTCCTGAGGCCTCCGAGCCACCAGTCTGAGCGGGGCATGATCGTATCGCTTTGTGAGGGAACGCTACAAAGGAGAGTTTCCAAGATAATGAAGCCGTGATAGCTTCCCGGCCCATGAAGACATCCTCAGAAACCGTACCGTCTATGAGGCACACCGGTGTAGTATAGACACAGAGTCGAGGTTAGGAAGGTAGTCAGATCCTGCCTCTCAGATGCACGCCGTCGTGGAGAAATAAGACGACAGCGATCCTACCCGCAGACGTGTGGATGGACAAACCTCGCGCGCAGCGGTATGTATACCTTCGCGGCGCCAATCCGCAGTCCACAGTGCCCGTACAAAGTCCGCTCCGGGGCCATGGTAAGGTATCACCGCTGGATCGGTCGCAGACACGGATACAGGCTTGACAGTGCGGGCGGGATCTATGAAAGGCTATTAAAGTTGTGAGTGTTCTCATACTTAGTGTGCAGCCTTCCCGTATGCTGCGAAGAGCGGTACTGGCCCATTCGAAGGGTTGACTCAGTCATCTTGGGTATAGATGAGAGTATTTGGGAATCGAAGGGTGCCCAGCCGCGAGATACGATGCCTTTTACCAAAGCTGTGGAAGCCTGCCCCGGGACAAATCCAGGCGTAGATTCCGCCATCGCGGTGCTCACATTCAACGCCACGAAAGGCGGGGCCACGGTCACAAGCAAGTAGAAAGCAGGATACCCAGACGACACGTTCCCGAGACCTGAATCATCCGCTCACCAAGACTGATTGAGGGTCATAGGATCCTACACAAAGATTGCCAAAGAGCCAGCAGATGACATTGCTGTCGAAAACCTAAAAGCACGAGGCTTCTGCCTACGCGACCTCGGACATAAGCACACTGCTGAGCCTTCAAACCGGTGCAGTATAGCAGCCTGTAGTAAGATGAAATACTGTCGTGAGCGACCGCAATATGTAATAATAGGCTCAAGTCGAACTTAAACTGACCGATCCGCTCTAAAGATGGTCCTCTGATCAATATTCGAGAGTAATCAAGACGCGTGTCGAGGCATCCCTCATACATCCGGGGTATCCTTGTGTTGGGGTGTGCCTGGGATTGGGCTGGCGGATGCGTAGATCTCTGCAGACGTCGGTTCCTCCCAGTTCACCGGAGCACCCAATCCCAAGGCGCGTAATTCCAGGGTGCCCAAACGCGCTGCGTGTTATTCGAGCAGAGCAGGTCGCTTGGAGGGAAGACGCATCTCGGAGATCAAGACGCAGAAGACCGTGAGGCAAGTGCGGAATCACGACATCCGCGGGAGCCAATCGCGCCTGCGCTAGGACCGAACAGCGTGCAACTGTGTGTCCAAGTATATCTGCGACGCTAATGAATCGCTGCCTTCGTTCTTAAGGGCCAGGAAGGCTTTCGTGGGGAGAACTCTGAGTAGGCGACTCGGAGAAAAGCCATGCGTGCTGTGGATTCCCATAGCTTCAGACTTTGCTGACTTGCAGAGGTTTCTGATCAACGATGTGGCAGAGACTTGAAGGTACATTAGTCTCCGAATAAACCGAATAATAATACCTCGAGGCCCTAAATAAATGGAAGATGTGTAAGGAAGAGTCACAAAAATAACATACGGACCAGGAAGTGAGCAAATAAACACCGGAACGTTGCAGAGATGGCGAGAAGGATATGTCGGGAAAGGCTTTGATCGCTATATTGGGAAATTACACGTGGCGTGCGCCAATGACATCCTGACAAAGGCTGGGGCGGCTTTTTTCAGAATAATACGCTTTTAAAGCTGACGCTCAGCCGCGCGGATTCCATCATTCACTGCTCTCCCCCAATCCATAACGATGTCCTCCAACTCTTCAGAATCCACCCTTGCCCCCGCCCCCGCCGTCGCACTTCCCCGCAGACAAAATCCGCCGAATGGCGCTAGCCTCGAGATCAGACCGCCGGTGTGGCCGGTAGACCACTCGGATGCGCCAGAACCGACGCCACTACCCGCAAAGTGCGCAAGACATGAGCTCGGGCGGGAGGGTATTTGTTGTAAAGAGCTCAAAGACGACGACGAGCGGACACTCGTCGACCCAGATATTGTCAGAGACGTGTGAGTACCTCCCCAGTCGCACTCGCTTACCGTGAGAGAAGGCGCCTTGAACGCTCTTTCTGACTCTCATGTTTTCTGTAGTGTTATCGGTCTCTCAGATGGCCTTACCGTCCCATTCGCCCTCACAGCGGGCCTCTCCTCGCTAGGTAACTCGCGCGTGGTCGTGCTGGGCGGCATCGCCGAGCTCATCGCCGGCGCCATTTCCATGGGCATTGGCGGCTTCCTCGCATCGCAGGCCGAGCGCGACCACTACCGCTTTCAGGCCAAGCACACCGCCTCGCGCGTTCTGCGCTCGTGCGCGGGCGAGATGGAGCGCGAGGTGCACGCCATCCTCGGCCCGCTCGGTGTCGAGGAGAGCCTGTCGCGGCAGGTCGCGAACTCGCTCAGGGAGGTCGAGGTCGGGGCTGAGATGGGCGAGTACGCGGCCACGGGCGACCTCGAGTCAAGCAATAAGCTTAAGTTCCAGCCCACGGTGGGGCTCACGCCGTTCCTGCTCAAATTCGGCGAGGGTATCGAGGACGTGACGACATCAAGGATGTACACGTCCGCGTTCACCATCGGCTTGGGATACCTCCTCGGCGGTATCATCCCCCTCCTGCCCTATTTCTTCATCCCCCAAGCACATGTGGCGTTGATGTGGTCGTGTATCATCACCGGTGTCATCCTCTTGATATTCGGTGTTGTGAAGGCGCGGGTGACGGGTGCAGCGGGCTCAGGGATTGGCGGGTACGTGTGGGGAGCGGTCAGCACGCTCATGGTAGGAGGCGCTGCTGCGGGTGCTGCATATGGTATCGTCGCTGCATTGGAGGGATAGTGGTTTGCCGTGTTCTTGTATTGGTGCGCTGGATGCTGTGGCCGCTTTCGTCGAGCGCGCATATAGTTCCTCTTTTGACGATGTATTTCTAGTCTGGCTACACTACGCTATCTTGTTTCGAATAGACATCTCGCAACCTTTGCTGTTGGGCTACGAGTGCAATCCGGGGTTCGGGACGGGGTAGAGGAGGCATACCCGAAATTGGCCCGGGTGGAGTCTGGCCATGGCGTTTCTCAACTCGCTGATATGCGCCTCCGGCTTGTCTGGCTCGCTTCCAACTTGGGTGTCTACTCATCGATGTGGACCTAACATACTGGTGGCGGAATCTCTGCCCTGCACATAGCCCGAATAACCTTGCCTTGGACAGTTCAGCCGTACGCAGGATGACCGGAGAAGCTCATGCACGGCCCACTTCAGAGCCAGGACCGCCCCGATCGCGGAATGTCGCATGGCGAGAGGGCAAGGTAGACACCTTTAATCGCCTCCCTGAGATCCCGCGTTTGTGCGTCTCGCGCCACGGCATAGAGCAGCGATACCTTACCTTATCTCCGGAGCGGACTCTGTACGGATTCTATGGACTGGTCGATGTATGGCGGACTTCAAGTTGGTCTTTGTAAGGCTTTCTCGAAGCATATACTCAGTCATTCATTCATTACGCCGCGACTACTACCGATGGCTCACAACGCTCAACCGATCAAGGATTTGGAGACGATGCTGCACTACCGGCCGTTTGGGGTGAGGGCTTCTTGCTTCTTTGCGGGTTCACACCCTCCTGGCTGGACGAGAAATCGTGAGAAGCATTCGAGGATACCCAATGGTAGCATCTACACCAGGGCGACGGTTGTTTCTTGTGACTGAGCTGGGTGCTGGGCTAGCTTCTTGGTTGACTTTCTCCGACATTCTGCCCCTGAAGTCCGAGTTGTGCTGTCGGTGGCTGTCGGTTGTGGACAGATTCTGCTCCCCTGCTGCGAAGCCCTATTCTTGTGGGACGAGCATATCGGCCGACGACCTTAAGTGCAACTTGCCGTGGCAATTTGAGCCTTACCAAGTGAAGATCTTTTACTGGGAATATGAGTGGGATATTACTTTTCTCTACACTGCAGGCATCCTGAAGGCTGTCTTCAAACTGGCCACTTCGCGGCGCTTCTATAGCAGACACATTCTCGACTCAGATGGTGAGTTATCCACCGTCGGGAAATTCTTCGGTACACTGGACTCCGAGCATGTTGGACTGCACTGTATCATTGTTGTATAGCATCCCAAAGCAAGGAAGGTCGACTCCCCCTTGCTTTCGGGATGGGTTTCTGCACCAATATCTTGCATTCTAGGGGAGAACTCGTCCAGTTGGTAAGCGTTCGTGCGTAAATGACCCGCTGACTACGGAAAATATAATCAAGCGGCGAGTTATAAGAGGGTGTATGGTCCCGTGCCATGACCGTCTAGCCTAGGTGTGTCTAATCCCAAGATCATGAGAAGTGTATACATAGCATATGACGCTTCGTCGGGGGGGTTAGCCTGTAGCACCCTACCCTTCGACTTCCTCTCGTACGCAAGGACGTTTCACTGACCGCGACGATGTCGAGTACTCAACAGAAACCAAAGAAAGTGCCGTACAGTGAGCATCAGAGTCGTGAAATAGCAAGGCTCTGCAATATTAACATCTCTACTAGTCCGGCTAGGTAATTCGGGCTTGAAGGTATCGCGGATCATCCTGGGATGTGGGCCGTACGGGAGCTCCAAGTGGTTGGACTGGGTTATCAGTAATGAGGACGAGGTGGCTAAGCACATCCAGACAGCGTGTGTTGAATCTCTCCAGCTTTCCTTGATAGCTCACAACTACGATACAGTTATGATCTTGGCATCAATACGTTCGATACAGCAGATGTATGTGCTCAGAGCAGTTGGCTCGTTCCGAGCTGACAATATACCGTCCGTGATTAGATATATTCGAACGGGTTGTCCGAGGTATTGCTGGGGAAGATGATCAAGAGACTTGGTCTTCCCCGCGACGAGATTGTCGTCATGACTAAAGTGAGTTGTATTCCATGTACAAAATTAATTTGTAACTCCATCGTGGACTACACTGCCACATAGGTTTGGGGCGCGGTGGCGAAGGACTATGACACCAATCTTTCCGCCACCGCGTCCACATCACCGCCCCATCCTGATACGATAGGTTATGTGAATCAGCACGGTCTGAGCCGCAAGGTAAAGCGGTCTTTACATGGCGTCCCCGCAGATTTTCACTCCCATTGACTTCTAGCATATCTTTGACGCGGTGAAGCACAGCCTCGAGAGGTTACAGACGGACTACATTGATGTTCTACAATGTCAGGATTTTTTGAGCCCCTCCTTGTGTCTTCCGTGATGAATCTGGTGATTCCTTCAGGTCATCGATTCGATTATGATACTCCTATCGAGGAAACAGTACGTTGCACAGGCTGGCAGACCATCAGAGGTGCCTTTCCAGTCTCACCGGTTAGCCGAATAGATGCAAGCACTTCATGATATCGTGAAGGCCGGATATGTCAGGTATATAGGAATGAGCTCCTGTTACGCTTATCAATGTTAGTGGTGATGTCGTATTGTGGTTCAAAATCATAGCTTACGCTAGACTAGTCCAGGCCATGCAAAGTGCGTCCATCCTGTTTTATCTTTGGTGACCTGTACATTGTGACATATGATATAGATTACGCCATCACGAACAAATTAACGCCGTTTGTTGTGATGCAGAATCACTATACTCTCCTATATCGTGAAGAGGAACGGGAAATGTATCCAACGCTCAAGGTATGCTAAATGACGACATTGGATCTATCTATCCACCTGATAGCTGCAGATGTTCAGCGTCGGATCGATAATTTGGTCTCCCCTGTCTATGGGTCTGCTGGCTAGACCTTTCAAATCCTCCGAGCAGACTACACGCAGCACTACTGACCAGTAGGTTCATCTGCATCTCGCAAAACTCCCCTTTTATCAACGCTTTTTGGAGGCTTACTCTTGCGATGTCTCGACGTGAGAGCATGGAAGCGACTATAAACCGGTACGCCCGTTAAACACTTGTCGGATGATATGACAATCACTGACGATTGTATCGAAATCTTTCAGTGTCGAGGAGATAGCAAAGAAGAAAGGCATCAGCATGGCTCAAGTCAGTATTGCTTGGCAGCTATCAAAAGAGGGTACGTGCTCTCGATTTAGATGCCATAATGGCCAGTGTTTACCATTGCTCTCTGGACGTGCAGGTGTCACCGCGCCCATCATCGGGGCTACTAAAGTGAAGTACGTGCACGACATAGCAGGTAAATGGTGCACTAGCTATCGACGATTTAATACGCAACGCCGCTCTTTCAGGTGCGATGGACGTGAAACTCTCAGCGGAGGAGATTGAATACCTCGAGGGCGCGTATAAGCCCCAGAACACTTGGGGATATCGTTAACTTCGAAGAAAGGGTCGATGCGGACTTCATAAAGCGGAGTGAGGGACGTTTCGTTTGTATGAGAATCTCTCTCGCTTGCGCACTAGCCAATCATATCACTCCTACGCTCTCGAGTGTCCATTATTCGGTATATGCGTAGCGCCATCGTCAGTGAGTATCCGTGAGGTCAGTCCAATCTAGCATGTTTAAGTAATCGGTCGTCATTATTAGTGAGTCAAGTCGTAAGTGAGTCTCGTGGTATACGGAGATAAGCTGCAATGCCGCTACTTACGCGTCATCTTCTGCCGAATATCATTTTACAGCTCTGCCAGTGACTCGCCACAGGCAGGTCATTGAATGCCGCACACTTTCCGCAGTTATAAGGAAGTCGGGGTTAGGTAGTGGCTTACCCCAATCCAACTCCCCTTCTCCTCTGTGCCGCGTCGCCAGTGAAGAGACGATCATGACCAGCAAGGATACCGCACAACCCACTAAGAAGATGCCGTACGGTCAGTTCCATTACCTCTGGCACGTCGTCATCCTATCTAACACCATTACAGTTCGGCTAGGCAACTCCGGCCTCAAAGTATCCAGGATCATCCTCGGGGCTATGTCCTACGGAAGCTCCCAGTGGCTGAACTGGGTGATCGAGGATGAAGACGAGGTTGCTCGCCATATCAAAGCAGCGTAGGCCAATTCTCCCGAGGTAAAAGTGTTTGCCACTGACTAGGAATTCCGCTGTGATTAGGTATGACCTCGGGATCAACACATTCGACACGTCCAACGTAAGTACTAGTAATCTACGTACTACATGGCTTCACAGATGGAATAACACAGTTCCCGGCACGGGACGTACCTCCAGAATTACTCAAATGGCTTGTCGGAAATATTGCTCGGAAAGACCATCAAGAGACTTGGTCTGCCTCGAGATGAGATTGTCGTCATGACGAAGGTAAGATCCGATTCGTATCCTTCTGGCCGACGGTGCAGAAGTGTGTACTGATAATCGGCATTAGGTCTACGCCACAGTCGCGAAAGACTACGCTACGAATCTTACTGGTGTAGGCGAAAAGACCCAACCTCACGACACCCTCGGCTACGTGAATCAACACGGCCTCAGTCGCAAGGTATAGATGCGTCCACACACGACCGTCCTGCAGCACGGTCCTTAATGAGATTACTAGCATATCTTCGACTCGGTCAAGCACAGTCTCGAGAGACTACAGTTGGACTACATTGATGTCTTGCAGTGTGAGGATTGACCGAACCCCGTAATGGCATGAGTGCTGAGTGCTTCGTCACGCATAGGCCATCGATTCGACTACGAGACGCCTATCGAAGAGACAGTACGCAGACCTTGGCCTCAAGACGCTTGCGATCCCTGACTACTGCATATGTTCCAGATGCAAGCTCTTCATGATGTTGTCAAAGCAGGATACGTCCGTTACATCGGCATTAGCTCGTGCTGGGCCTACCAGTGTGAGTCGCACTGGTTAAAGCACTCTGAACCACTCCTGACACCACTTTACAGTCCAAGCCATGCAAAGTACGCTCATTGGCTTACTCCTTGAATCGCTTGCCTCCTGACATACAAAACAGACTATGCCATGGCGAACAAGCTTACGCCCTTCATATCAGTGCAGAACCACTACACGCTCCTATACCGCGAAGAGGAACGTGAGATGTACCCGACCTTGAAGGCACGTAGCACATCACCCACTGAGAAGCCCCGGCGCCTTACACTCCGTTGTCATAGATGTTTGGCGTCGGCACAATCCCCTGGTCTCCCCTGGCCATGGGTCTGCTCGCTCGGCCACTCTCCGAGCAGACCACCAAACGATCGACTCCAGACTGGTAGGAGCATCCGCCTGCATATTCATCTCGTCCTGACGTGCATGCCATTCAAGGTACAGATTCATCGGCCAATTTTCCGAACAGGGCGGTGCAGAAATAATCAATCGGTACGTCTCTACCGACCTCTGTAGGCAATCTGTCGGTTGAACGATACGTACGCGTCAGTGTGGAGGAGGTCGCGAAGAAACGAGGTATCAGCATGGCTCAAGTCAGCATTGCCTGGCTTCTCTCCAAAGAGGGTGCGTACAGTCTTCAAAACGCTCGTAGCATCGCCTCAAGTCATCTTCGTCCTTCAGGAGTCACAGCGCCTATCGTCGGCACAACCAGCTTGAAGCACCTGTACGACATCGCAGGTAAGTACCTCCACTCATTCCGCTCTGCCATTATTTCTGACGCGATGTTGTTGCTAGACGCTGTACACGTCCAGCTTACGCGGGAGGAGATCAAGTACCTCGAGGAGCCTTATAAGCCCCAGGCCGTATGGGGCCACGCCTGAGATTAGGCTGGTGCAAGTGCATCCATACGCAGACTCGGGATACACTTCGGGCACTGGAATGTTGTGTATTTGGGAGACAGCATCAGTTATCGCACCACGCCCGATAAGACCAGTGAAGATACGACTCCTGCACTAAGCCGAGCCAGTAGCGTTACAGGGCCCTGCGCACAAGAATGCATAAACACCCCTCACTCAGTGAAACAGCAAAAAGCATGCAAACGCACCTGGCAGGCCCCTCTCGCTGAGCACGTTGACACACTCGTACCCCGGCGCTGTCCCGTTCACAGGCTGGACGTCGAAGTTGACGAAATCGATATTCGGACACGGTGCGTTCGCGCTGCACTCGATGTCCACCACTACATTTAAACAATCAATCAGCACATGGACTAGGTAGGTAGCGAGAATCGTGAACGGAAGACGCACCCTTGCTCCTCAACGAAGTACCCGACCAGTTGATAAACGTTAGGTTGGAGAACTGCAGGTACGACGGCGTGTCTCCACTTCACCGCGCATCAGCATAGAGCGAGGCAATGAAAGGCAAAGCGCACCTATGCCCCCCGTTCGTCTGGTATAGGTGCAGCGGCACCGTAACGCGGTCGACGTACACGTCCTGCGCGAGGACATTACTCACGTACCCACCGCCGCCTCCGCCGCCGGTGGGAGGGACGCCGTTTACGGTGGCTGTCCATGATTTGAAGTATACCTTCAAATTCAAATTGGGAGTCAGGAATTCATGCCAGCGAGATGAGAGTTAGGCGAAAGACTTACGCCGCTGACCATGTTCGGCTGGATGCTTGAATCCAGGCGGAGGAGCTATAGGCAAGATGGAACGTACACAGTTACAATGAGCCGTTGCATAGAAGACATCAGAGCCTACAGTGAGGTTCGTCATCTCGACGTGGTCCACAATGTCGGACTATCCAGGATATCGTTTAAGCCCTAGTACTAGTGGACTGAAAGTGAAGGACAAGTACCAGATTAGCGTACTGCCCAAGACTCCCGAAGGCAATCCCGTTCCCGCCGCGACAGACGTAGTTCTGCACGTGCAGATCCGTCGTGTTCTGCATGTACATCGTCAAGTCAGGTTTCGTAGCCTGCGTATAAAACAAAAATATACTCACTCCTTTGATTGCGAGGCAATCGTCGCCGCAGGTTATCTATCAAAAAGCGAATGGGATGGTTAATATGAAGGGAAGGGGAGGGTAAGAGAGGAGGAAGGGTGCGCACGTCCCAGTTGATGAGCGAGACGCGGTCGCTCCGGTACGTGTCAATGCCTGCCCATTCCCGCTGTCAGCAATCTCCCCATGTTCGTTCACTCGGTGCCTCACCATCGGTATTGGGCACAACACTATGACACCGCACACATCAGCACTCCACCCACCCACCACTTAACCAAAAGACTCACTTCGTCCCATAATACGCCGGGTTCGTATTGGTCGCATTACAATACATTCCGTCATACACAACGTCCGTGCTGTCCACGACGGTGTTGCACCAGAACGGCTGCGCCTCGATGCGGAAGTCCTGCACGAGCCCGCGGGTGACATTCGAGAGTGTGAACGCGATCGGGCGCCCGTCGCCGTCTTCGCGCGTACGGTTCGCGAAATAGTTCCACCAGGTCTGGTTAGTGCGTTCAGGTTAGGGACATGGTATTCGCTAATATATTGTATTTCCAGGACAGAAGGGAATGAAGTGGACGAACCTGGCCGTTACCCTGGATGCCACCAACGCCGTGGGCGTCGATGATAAAGTCATGCCCGGTGACTACGAACCAGGACGCTTGGTTCTATGGCGCACATCAGAACGCCCGTGATAGTACTCCAGACATGGATTATACCTGGATGAACACCACACGGTAGGTATTGTCGGCGTTTAGCCAGTACTCCACGTCTGGCAAGAACTAGGCTCCAGTCAGTAGGACTGATCGATTGGCCCAGGGAAACATCTGAACTAACATTGAGGTAGCCGTACAGGTCCACGCGCGACGATACCAGGTCCCATGTCATTTTCCTACGTTCGTATTCAGCTTTAGCTAAAGCGAAATGTCTGCTGTAATTTGAAAGTGACCGCTACCTGGTAATGTTATAGTCACCAGCCTCGAAGATAACTTGGCCGTACTGGCCGCAGCTCGCAATGGCGGCTTCAACCTGAAGCTCATGAGCATTGTTACTCTGTGCAATACTTCTCATTGAAGAGCCTCGCCTGGTCTGTATCATCTTGCCCAGCCCCAAGTGGCTTCAGAGTACATGTCTTCGCCTGTACTGGCCCAAACAAAAACCCCAACGAGGTCAACAGTAAGAGCGCGAGCCTCGAATTCGAATGCATGACTGCCTTGGCACTGGGGCGTACATCCTGCACACGTTTGAATATATACGATACCTCATGAACGTCGCGAAGGTCGGTGGAGTGCGTAAACAGGGATCACGAGTGTCGTTGCGGGCTGCATCAGAATGTGCCCCGCGGCCCGGGGCCGTGAGCTATATTTTGTGCCCCAGTGGGATTGTACTGTCCTCCAGGAAGAGTCGTTAGCGGCAGTAATCGGAATAAAGAAATCAAGAGGAGGATAGAATCAGGAAGTCGACTGACAGTCCATAGCAAATCGTCCTATACTCAAGAGGCCAGAGATATCGTGCCAGTACTGTTCGGGAGCTCGTTGCAAGCCTCGGCCCTCAAGTCTTCAGACAGGCATGGAGACAAACCGTACGAAACGTACCTGCATTTGTTCAAACTGGTGTCGTGTGATTCCATTGTATAATTTGTGATGACAGAACTGCCTGAACATACCATTGATGTACTGGCCGTCGTAGTGGCAGGCTGACAGCCTGACACTCAGTCACTACGGGAGGCGTCCACCGGCCCCGCGGCCCGGAGACCTTCAGCCAATGGCATTACAGTATAGAGCACATAGTGTACTGCGTCGCTAGTGGCTTCACCCGGAGTACTTGCAGTCTCCTCTCCAAGCACTGAGAGGAACACAATCCTTCGTCATGAAACTCGCCCACTGCTCTGGGTACCGATCCCCCTGCACGTCCGCCTCCCTGGCCAGCACCCCGATCTCCTTCGAATCCTCCGCGCTCAATGTGATCTCAGCAGCCCGCGCATTCTCCTCCAGTCGCTCGACGCCTGGGATAGGCACGAAATCCTGGTACGTGGAGATAATCCACGCGAGGGCGATTTGACTGGGTGTGGCGTCGCACTTAGCGGCGACCGCGCTGAATTTATCAACGAGTGCGAGGTTCTGGTACCTGCCCGATATCAGTCCTGTACAATATCAGTTCGATTCAGCAGCCTGGACACGCAACCGAAGGAGACAACACACTCTGCCCCAAAGGTGAGTATGCCACAATCCCGACGCCCAACTCCCTCGCTGCCTCCAAAAATCCACTCCTCTCGACCCCCAGCTCGAACGGGCTAAACTCCATCTGGGCCGCCACCAGCTTCTCGCCGACACCTGGCCCCGCCCTCGCGCGCCGGAGCACGTCCGCCCTGCAATCACTCAGCCCGAACCACTTCACCTTTCCGCTCTCCAGGAACGGCCGCACGGTCTCCATCACGACTGAGAACATCGTATCCCGCCCTCACTCATCACCTTCCACTGATTGGAGCATGAATGATATGCATCTTCAATGGGTACCTCGGGATCAACGCGGTGCTGGTACCACAGGTCAATGTAGCTCGTTCTGAGCGTCTCCAGCGCTTTCTCCAGCCTCTCATGTACGTACTCTGGCTGCGGATCCGGCTTGAAGGGGTTCTCAGCGCTCGGCGAGAGGTCCATCGCCCCGAACTTGGTGGCGAGGGATATTTCCGATCGGCGCCCCGTGAAGGCGAACCAGCGTCGCCTCGGCTGCGGGTGGCCGGTTGTCATTTGGTGAGTTAATGAACTGTATAGAAGGGAGGGAGGAGAGGACTGAGGACTGAGCGTAGATATCTAACGTGTCCCAGAATGTAACACCCCGGTCTGCGGCGTGCGTTAGCGTCTCGAGAGCCTGGCTCTCGTCCGTCTTCCCGTAGTACGCGCCCGTACCTACATACCAACCTCGTCATTCCACACCTTCCTCTCTACGAGAACACCTCACTCACCCATCTCGCCGAGCCCGATCACGCTTACCTCCGGGCCATTGCGGCCCAGTCTACGTTTCGGGAAAGTGGAAGCCTGACGAGCCATCGTTGTGAAGGTGAAGTGAGGGTTTAGATTGGTTTGCTCTGGCCATCCCGACGCTCGTTGCATTATATACAGACATCCAGCGCCAGAGTGGACGGCCGACGCGGCTAGATCTTGCCATGGCAAAGACAGTTACAGTGGCGGAAGCAACGAGTATCTGTCGAAGGCGTTTGATGGTGCTTACCCCGCCCGAACGCCGCCCGAGGGGAGAGTTCCGACTTTCGCATTCAGCGTAGTCGTATTGCGTCGTGCACAGGCCTCGTCGTCGACATGTCCATCGACGGGGATGAAACTCTATCTGTAATGGTCCCATCAGTAACGAGAGCAGATACGAAGTGAAAGGGACCTATCGATCCATGGTTTGAGGAGTAGTATACCACTTTAAACTGCGCAAGAGATGGGCAACCTCATTCGCAGTCTGCAAACATGTGGTGAGCAGTAATAGCCTCCGAGTATATGTAGTGACACTGGTAGCGTCTCTGTGGCTTAGATCACTAGCGCAACTCGAAGAATAGCCACAAACGCACCTGAAGCATGCAGCCTGAAGCTTGAAGCCTTGCTGTTGGTCAGGCTCCCGCGGGCTGGGTTTTAAGGAATGACATTGAACCAGTTGTGAATTACAAGAACGTTCTAACACCCGTTCGCTTCGCTTTCCCTGTACACCTTTGCCTCTCCACACCCGGCCCTGCCGCGATCTTACACGTCTCCTCTCCCCTCATCAACGCAAAAACCGGAAACACCTCCGCAAGAAAGGACGACGCGCTGCAAGAAAATACACACCGTCCATTAGGATGAAGATCGAAAATTTTAGAAATATATAGATATGTATAAGAAATGGATATCAAGCAAGCTTTAAGGTATACAATGAACGTGAAAGGTCGTGACAATGATTAGATTGTGCGATGGGTAAAAGATGCTGTTGGGGTATTAAAGGATTGCAAGAACGTAATGTGTCGTAGTAGTGAATGTTGTTTGATTGGTGTCGTGATGGTTTTGTGTTGAATCCGCGGAACAATAATAAATGCAAATGCACCGGTCATGAATTGAATGCAATGGTTGGTCGTGAAAATGCAGATGAAGATGATTAATGATGTGTTCAAGAGATAAGAGATTACGCGCAAAAGTAACAAAAGCATTAAACTGTCATATATGAAGCAAAGGGACACGGAGGTGGTGAGGTCGGATGCAAGAGTCGGAGGGGCGGCGGCTATTTTGTGCTGCACGGATAACAGGAGGTAAAGGCTGCCAGGTCTCAGCAGCGCGAGAGGGCGTCGCTCGATCTCATAGTCAACCAGTCTTCATCCTCGTACCTCCCGCCGCCCTGGACTTTCACCTTCCGGGGCAAGTCCATCGCGAGCGTGAACTCCCCCGCCACATCGCCAATTAACGCGTGCTTCTGCGCGAGCGGCTGGCACAGCAGCGAATTCGGGGACAGGCGCTGGAGAACAGGCCGGTCGTGGTCGAGGAGGCCGAGCTGGTCCGGCGCCGAGATTGAGGTTAAAAAGGGAGCGGGCGTGTCGAGCGGAAGCGGGTGGGGCGGGATGGTCGCGCGCATGCTCTTCGTCCGTCGCCTGGGAACGTGCGGCGGCGGGGGGCTGGGGATCCGATGAGGCGGGATCAGCCCAGCCTCCATATCCGCGAGCTCGGGCGCCTGGCTGTCCTCCTCGACCCACGGATGATCCTGCGGGTCGTCCGGGTCCGAGTCCTGGCGCTGGCGCGGCTTCCACTCGCCCAGCGGCACGTCCTCCATGGCCTCCTCGTCGTCATCCTCCGTCACCGGGAACAAGCACGCGAGGTCGCTCTCCCGGCTGACGATCTCCAGCTCGCCGCTCCCGCCGAACGTCGGGCTGAGCGGCCGGTTGACCCGATCGTCATCCTCGTCGTCGTCCCAGACGGATATCCACTCGTCCCCGGCGACGACCGGGACGCAGCGCGCGAGCGGGCTGCTCCGCACTGGCATGCTCAGCCCGAGCCCCGCTGCGCCCATGTGGCCTTGCGAGCCCAGGATGCCGACGCGGACGCCGTTTGACCAGGCGCGCCGCCGGGACTTGATCTCCAGGACGCTGAGCATGTGCTCTTGCTCTGAGGCGATGGACTGCTGGACGTTCAGGTGCAGAGTCAGGAGGTGGGTGAGTCGTGACAAGGGAGGATGGGGGCCGGCGGAGATGTAGGAACGGGCATGGGAGCGTTTGCCTGGGTTGGTGTTGATGCGGGGAGACGGGGAAGAAGCGGGGGACGGAGGCAGAGAAGGCGGTGGGAAGTACGAGTCTCGCTGGGTTTCAGGCTTGTTGGGCGAGGTCGGGGACGGCGGCACTGATGTGCTTGGCGTCGAGGGCAAGCTGTCATGCACCGAGTCGGTCGGCGTGTGCACGCGGTGGCGGTGCAACTTCCCGTGTCTCAGCATCTCAGAACCCCGACAGCCGACGACCTTGGCTGCTGCAGTGCCGCGAGTGCGTACGCGCCCGGCTTGCCCGTGCAGTGAGTCCATTTATCCTCTCGTTTAAATACGCCCATTAATCGACTTTCATCACACTCACCACACCCACTATGCCCTCGCTCGCCCAGGTTCGCGCCGCTAATGCGGCGTACAAGCCCGCCTACGTCCCGGTCGCGCTCTTCGTGGGTGGCACCTCCGGCGTCGGGCAGGCCTGCGCGAAGGCCTTCGCGTGCGTCACGAACGGCAACGCGCACATCATCGTCTGTGGGCGCAACCGCGCCGCGGGCGAAGCGACCATCGCTTCCTTCCCGAAACCGTCTACGACGTCAGGAGAGCAGAAATGGAAGCACGAGTTCGTCGAGTGCGACGCGTCGCTGATGAGGAACGTCCACCGGACGACGTCGGACCTGCTCGCGCGCCTGGACAGGCTCAACTTCCTCTCGGTCTCGCCCGGGATCTTCTCTGTGAACGGCCGCACGGAGACGGAGGAGGGGTTGGATCGCAAGCTGGCGGTGCATTACTACGCGCGCTGGAAGTTCATTCACGACTTGATGCCCCTCCTGCGCAAGGCGAAGGAACGGGGCGAGGACGCGGGCGTCTTGACGATCCTCGGCGCCGGCTCGGGCGGGCCGATCGACCTCAACGACCTAGGGTTGAAGAAGAACTACACGCTGAGTAACGCGGCAAAGAGCTCGATCACGTACAACGACCTCATGGTCGAGGTAAGTAACCCTAAATTCCTTCCTTCTTCACCATCACCCAACGTTCTGCGGTACCAGTCCTTCCACGAGCAGAACCCCGACATTGGGTTCACCCACCAAAATCCCGGCGGGGTCAACACCAATATCTTGAGGCACTCCGACATCCCCGGCAAGTCGATCTTGCAGGCCCTCTTTTATCCCCTCTCAGCTGCGCTCACGCGCTCACCCGAGGAGGCCGGACACTTCCTCCTCTATGCGCTGCTGCAAGGCGCGCAGAAGGGCGGTGTGTACCGGCGCAATCCGGATAGCGTGGACATCGGGAAGGATAAGTACTTCGGGAGCGAGGAGGCGAGGAAGAAGTTGTGGGAGCACACGGTCGAGGCGACGAAGGTGGCATAGGGGTTGAGACATATGCGCTGTGTTGATGCCCGTCTTAGTTTGGATTAGGCTTCTGTATATTAATCATAATTGGCAGACTCGGATGGCGCAATTAGGAGTATAGAAGAGAAGTATCTCAGAGGAGGACCGATTAATCCCAAATGTTGCGGATGACCGCAGCGAAGGCCGCATCGTTGCCATTTCCCTTGGTTTGGTATCAGCGAGGCCTGAGGCCTCGGATCACGTCCTCATACTCAGAGATGTACAAAGGGATTACTCTTCCCCTTCGTGACATGCCCAGCGGAAGGTAAATACCAACCACCCAATCAGGCCAATAGGCGAGACGATACACTACCAGTCCTATTCGTACGGAGGCCGAAAAGCCTGAGGTTAGTGAACGCTTCCTTAACACTGCAACCAGGAGCACACGCACCGGCAGTATGATGTTCCCGTTGCTATCCCGCCGGGGAATAAAATCTGGTGGTCCATATGTTGGAACGAAGACGTGGAAGCTTTTGAACGCTGATCCTCAACCTCGGCGAATCCACGCGCTGCAATACAAGCAGGAACGATGCGCTTGACGGAGTGCGGCTCGCGTACAGTGGGACGCCACGAACCGCCCGGTCTTCTCCTGGACTGCCAGTCCGGTCTCGTTTCCTGCCTGCTGAGGCGTCGGGGGCTTCAAGTCTTCCATCCCAGTCTCTCGGAATTTCGCGTCGCAGAGCAGGCTGGGTGAAATACACACTGGAAATTACATCGAATTCGTATACTCGGCGTTTACTGACCACTCGGCCCAGCCATCCGCAGTGAGGCTATCGTGACTCATGTGTTGGCAGCTCTGAATGAAATTTGGCATCGCAGGCCAGGCTGCGAACTTGATAAGAAATCTGGCATTGATCTGTACAAACACTTAGCATTCGGCCCATTCGCTGGCCATCTGGTTGAAATTCTTGTAATCACCACACCGTGGGCACTTGCGTCTCCCTGAGTCCCTTTCAGAGAGTATCATGCTCATCTGAAGCACTATTCCAGACTTTATGCATTGTGACCATCTCGTGGAATCTATGATGGTGCCTCGGTCATCACAAGCAATGTTGTATCGTCCGTTCTCGACATATGTCCGCCCCGCACGATCCTGAAGTGCGCCTTGACGATAGCGTATAATTTCTATGTGCGGTGGGTTGTAAACAAAACGCGGTGTTGAGGTGCGTGATCTGTACTCACGTCCCAGGTGGTACATAGTATTATGGGAAGTATCATCTCCTTCCCCAGTGCATCGACGAACCGCACGCCATTATCATGCGAATACCCGATAGCAGGAGGCAGTTGTCGTAGAGACGACAGTACCTCGTTCAACTTCACCTTGTTTCAAAGGTGGTTCTGTCTTGCCTGGGAAGAAAAATAGACAGCAGAGGAAACAGGGAGACCGAGGATAGAGACAAGACGCGAGCGAGGGTCTGGAATCCCAGCCACAGAATCAAGGCGGAGTTGAGAGGTAAGATATGGTTATAGTGATACTAGGTTTGCTATGAGACTCACGATCCGACGGCATGGAGAGCTCCTAAAGCTGGACCGAGTCCCATTAAGCAATAGAAATCCCAGACGCTCTGGAAAAGGCGAAGAAATATCCGATTCGCGGTTGACGTTCGTACCAGCGCTTGTATATGAGAGAACGCTCTAGTGACTTGAGCATGGCTGCTCAGAAGCGCCTAGGGATGTGTGTGGATGGATCCACTGGAAAGGGGTCCACACACGGGCCTACCTATACGTCGCAAGCGATCCAGCTGTGGTGCTATCATGACACCACAATACCGGCGTTTCAGGTTGCAGTCAAAGCTCGGAACCCGCTCCGTCGAATAGGATGCCTCCAAGATTCCGGCATGGAGAGTCAGGCGCGGCACAAAAATACTATGGAGGGGTCTCAAGCCTGTCAAAGATTACAGGAAATCCTGCTGTCAAATCCATATACTTAGAAACAGATGCAGCACTTCCCACTCACGGAAGAAATTCTATGTATCTCCTCTTGATACGTATGAATAACTCCTATAAACAATTAACTCTTTCCCTTGTCAGGTTCCGCAACTAGCATTGCGTGCTAATCAGAGTGCTGGCTCATCACGCGACCTAGACACCCGCGGGATACAGAGCCTCGGAGTGCTCCGGCGACGGTCGACCTTTGCAATCTTTGCATCACGCGTCCGAGCTGGCATCGGGGTCGTGGCTATCTCAAACCCATCCACCTGAGCAGAGTTCCAGTCTTTCGATCAAGACTTTCGATCACATCACCTCCGTACAACCTCTGGTGTATATTGGCGTCTGAACGTTTTGTGGCAACTTGGAATTGACATTGCTCTAAGATCAAGGGCACAGCCTGAATGAAGAGAGGGATATGCATTCATTTATCAGAGAATGCTCACTCTCCTTGATTTGCCTTAGAAATGACACGTCGGCCATGTGTATCGCCTTGATCGTCATGAACAGAAGGTTGGAGGAAGCGTGCACAGCCGCGGGAAACTCCGGGAAATCTGATCCGCCCGACTTCGTCCCTGGTGGCTATGCTGCCATCACGTGCGATCTGAGATTCTCAGTATTCGTCGTTGGAGCTTGAAGACCTTCGGAAACCAGGGTATACTGAGCGCAACCGGTATTCTGCAGTTCATTGCCTTCGATACGTAGGCTTCAGAGAAATATAAGCGCTTGCACGGCTCACATAACTGTTCTCTCCCACTTACGTTCCCGACGAGCGCCAAATGTCGAATGGAGCTAAATTGGTTACTTGGATGATGCGATGGTTACTGGCCGATCGATAAAACTCTCAGAGTCTGCCCGTTCTCGACGGCAGACGCAGACGTCGTATCCTGATGCTTGTTGCCGTCTGTTCGATAGGTACGTGTAACGATCCTCTGCGTCACCCAAGCCTATCGTATGAAGCCTCCCACCGTACAGCCGCACAATATACTCCCCTCGGAAATCCACTGCCACGACAGCGCCTTATCCTTTGCTCCAGCGCGAAGAGCTTCCATTAGGGCTGACTCTGGAGTCGGTCGGACGCTTTGGCTCGGGTTGCCGGAGGCACCGCGTCGATTCACTGCCCTCACGTGTCGGCTCCGAGGTTTCTACGTGCTTCGCCAGCGCTAACAGCCTTTCGCGAAAGTCCTATAAATCACCTGCGTGTCCGACGCGATCGAGCCATGGCGCAACCACCCTACGTGTACACCCCCGTCTACTATTCACCCACCCCCTACATCGACCCGTACTATCTGCAGAACCACTCGCCGTACATTCCGAATCTCCAAGTCCCACCATTAACCCCACCCACGCGTCAAGTCCACTTCGAGGACGAGGAACCACAATGTCCTGTACGCCCTAGGGTGGTATCCTGGCACGCGGGGATGCCCTCCTCACCCGTGGGCCCAATGCCATACTTCTACCCCTCCCCTCCCCCGCCACATCCCGTCCCCTTGTATACCCACGGGCGCAGACACTCTTTCGGTGCTCCTCCAGTCATGACTCCGCCCTGGGCGACTCCCCCGCCATGGAGCGCCTGGCCTGGGTACGGATACGCATACCCGCCACAACCGTACGTCCCACGTTCGCTCCTCCACCCGCTCCTGAGCGCGGAGGAGAACCCCCCGCCAATCATCTTCGACATGTCGCTATCGACGTTCGCGCCACAGAAGATCATAGGGCGCGGGCAGAGGGCCGCGCTGAGCACGGACGAGCTGCGCCAGCCCGCGACGCACCCGCCGACGACGCACATGAGGATCGTGTGCGATCCGATCAAGCAGTGGCCGATCGAACTCAAGGACCGGCGCAGCGAGCCATTCGCGCACAGCATGCTCCTGCAAGTGCCCGCGATGGAGCCCGCGCCGCCCATCACCGTCGGCGACGTGCTGAACGCGATCCACCGCGCGATGCAGACGCAGATCAGCCATGTCGACTGGGCGCGGCTGAGCAAGAGCGACGAGATCGAGATTGCGCGGGCGTACACGCGTAGATGCAGGGCGTTCCCGAGCGTGGAGCAGTTCGAGGCGAGCCAGGGGGTGCGGAGGGTGGACTATTTGTTGAAGAAGTATATGTTCAAGGGTTTGAAGCGCTCGAAGGGCGACGACGGGTTCAATAACCTGAAGCTGGTGATCGGTCCTCCGGATTGACTAGATGGTGGTATTCTTCGGGGTTTAATCGCAAAATATACGTTCTCAGGAAAGGACTGATTGTATTTTACTTATTGTAGCTGCGTAGTGTATGCTAGACAGCCTCTCGTAATCCGTGGACCGACGATACCCTATCTATGTCGCTATGCCATATGATGGATCCATTGATATAGTATGTACTCGAGCTATTATCACAATGCTACTATGTTCAAAGAATGCACTTTACCTCGACATTGCATCTCCTCATGATCGGCACTGGCAGCGGCCGGACGGTGTTAACTCGAGGTTGGTGGCTCCAAGAGACAGACGACATCGGATGGTTTATGTAAAGCCGCTCAACCATCAAGCTGTTCGTCCCTTTCTACGAATACTGAGCAGAGTCGCGATTATATTCGTAAGGAGACTTTCCGCTTCTCCAATGGGAGGTGCTCTGTATCATACATCAAGCAATCTCATACAATTCCAACTGCTCCAACAGTCCCTTCCCATTCGGCTTCCAGCCAGTCTGCTGCTTGGTCCACTCCGCCGACGCCTTGAACGCAACCGCCTGCAGTCCACCCACGAACCCAAGCTCCTCTCCTAGCTTCTCCGTCGGAATCACTTTCGTCTCCTTGCCCAATCTACGTCCCAAGACCTCCGCAATATCCCTCAGTGGTACACCATCCTCCCCAAGCCCATGCAAAGTAGCCGGGTTTGGGAGCTTCCCCGGGGCGATCTCGACGGCTCGGAAGAACAGATCGGCTATGTCGTCGACCGTGGCAGTCCCCCAAAATCTGTCCGAGTCCGGGTAAGCGACGTATCCGTTCTCCTTTATCTTCTCGATCTGCCCCAGCAAAAACGGATGATTGAGTTCGGCGGGGCCATAGGTGATCGGAGCGATCCGGACTTGGATCACCGACAAGCCCTTGGGGGCGTAGGAAAAGGCGAGGTCGGTCGATTGCCACCGAGGCATATCAGGGGAACGGTGCAGCTCGGACTGCTCGTTGGCGTTGGGCGGAAGCCCGAGGGTTCCAGCGGCGAGAATGAACCGCTTCTTGTCCCCACCTGAAGCGAGGAGCGCGTCACATATCGCCGCTATAACCTTCCGATCTTTCTCGCAAGCCCCTGCCCAATCTCCGCTGAATGCCATACCGTGGTCGAAGGCCAGATGGACGACGACATCCGCGTCCTTGGCTGCTTTCGCAACGGTCTCGAGGTCGGTGATATCCCCCGAGACTGCTTTAGCCCCGAGGGACTCGAGTTTGGCGATGGAAGAGGGGGAGCGGGCGAGTCCGGTGACTTGGTGCCCGGACGCGATCAGCTTGGGCACGAGTGTCGAGCCTATGAAGCCTGAGGCGCCTGTCACGAACACTTTCATCGTTGCTGGTTTGCCGTCGGTGCTGTATATGGGAATTGGCGTGTGGTGCTTGCTGCTGGGAGAGACTGGTGAATGGAACTGGAATGATAGAGGGAAATACGCTGCGACGAACCATTATATAGATATGCTGGTCCGGGGTAGGTGGTATACGTAGTCCGGCGTGAGGACATCGGCATTCAGTGCCACCAAGACGCGCGTGCTAGTACGCAGACCTCAGCAGGTACCTATTACCAAGTTGATGTCCAGGCAGAGGACAAACTATACAGTATGAATAAGCATCGACACTACCATATGCGCTAGGCCAGATCGGTATCCAAGCTTGATATTGCGCCTCCTGAAGCTTTGATATGCTCTGTCTGTCTTACCAAAATTGATGGGGGACGGAGAGGCCGCGTATTGACCGCACAAGTCGAAGTGCGTTCGGCATCGCAGTAGCGATCTGATTCCCGACGGCAATCGCCTTTGAATAAGCCGCAGCTGCGGAGTCCTCGCTTCTGATTGGTTGAACGGCTGTCGGGTGGTTGATATCGCGGCTTGCGACTCCCGAAGGCTTCGGGATTCGCGCTGCAAGCTTGTCGTCTCTTGCCTTGCCCGGCGACGGGCGTAGGCAGAACGGGGCACCTAAAGTAAGAGGCCACTTAGGCGTATGTTTTTCCTGTCAACCGCTTGCGACGTTTTTGGGTTATCATCGCGTTCACACAGGTCATGCGTGCGATACAGCAAAAGTGAGGCCTGGAGCTCGTCCAGGAAACTATCTAGTCGTCTACGCTCTACCGCCTGGAAGAGATCATCTGTCACAGATATTGACAACACTGTCTCTCCCATTCATATCTGTGCTCAGGAATGCTGCTCCGTGATCATGGTCGTAGGACGCACGTTGCCCTGGCGCTGATCCTCTTACTACGTTCCCCAGACGCCGGATGTTAAATCAGTGGATCAAGTGGGCTCCGTAAGGCAGATGTATAGTCACCCGACCCTGCCTGGAACCCGTAGAGCGACAAGAGCACTCACGAGTGCGTCTCGATGGGCTTCCCTTTTTTCTTAGTAGGAAGCTCTTTGAAATCCTGCATGAACTGCCGAAACATCTGGCCGAGGCGCCGTTCGCATTACAAGAAGCCCCAGGCCTGCGTTCCGCACTAAAACGTGGCTATTGTCGACGATATTCATACAAACCCCCTTGCAACTATCCAACGATGCTATTCCTATCGTACATCGAGCATCCTGTCGCAAATCAAGCAATCTCGTACAATTCTAACTGCTCCAGCAGCCTCTTGCCCTTCGGCTTCCAGCCGGTCTGTTCCTTCGTCCATTCTGCGGACGCCTGGTACGCCATCGACTGTAGCACACCTACAAACCCTAACTCCTCTGCCAACTTCTCCTTCGGAATCACTTTCGTCTCTTTGCCCAACCTTCGCCCCAAGACCTCCGCGACGTCCTTCAGCGGTACGCTTTCGGCCAGCCCGTGCAGAGTGGCCGGGTTGGGAAGTTTCCCCGGAGCGATTTCAACCGCTCGAAGGAACAGGTCCGCCACGTCCTCGATCGTACAAGCCCCCCAGGCGTTGTCCGAGTCAGGGTAAGCAACATATCCCTTCTCTTCGATCTGCGCGATTTGCTGCTTCAAAAACGAATGAGGCTCGGCTGGGCCGTAGGTGACCGGCGCGAGTCGGAGTGCGATCACCGACAAGCCTTTGGGGGCGTAGGAAAAGGCTAAGTCTGTCGACAGGTGCCGAGGCAGCTGAGGGGAACGATGTCCCTCGGACTCCTCGTTCCCGCCGGGGGGAAGGCCGAGGGTCCCAGAGGCAAGGATGAATCGCTTCTTTTCCCCGCCCGAATTCGAAGAGAGGAGGGCGTTACAAATGGCCTCGATAACTTTCCGGTCCTTCTCGCAAGCCCCTGCAAAGTCTCCACCGAACGCCATACCGTGGTCGAAAGCTAGATGGACGACAATGTCGGCGTCCTTGGATGCTTTCGCGATGGTCTCGAGGTCGGTGAGGTCTCCCTGGACCGGTTTGGCGCCGAGGGATTCGAGTTTGGCGATAGATGAAGGGGATCGGATGAGTCCAGTGACTTGGTGCCCGGACGCGACGAGCTTAGGTATGAGGGCTGAGCCGACGTGACCTGCGGCGCCTGTTACGAATACTTTCATCGTCGTTGTTTCGCGCTGAGGTTGGATTTCGGAGTAGATGTTCCAGTCTGGTACCGCTGCTGGAAGTCAAACGGGTATACGTTTTCATATGGATACGCTCGAGCAGGAGGACCTCGGCATACACGCGTCCTTGCGGCACTTGTGTAAGGTGCCGCAAGACCGCGCGTACATTCATTACGTTGCGGTATCTGATAAGATAGCAGGAGACACATCAATCAGCCATCACAACTGTGTTTCGTTTGTGGCACGCGCTTCTTCGAACCCCTTTCAAATGTTCGCACCAATCTCTTAAGCTTTCAAGCTTCAAGTTTCGCAAGCCACTAGTAGCATGTGCGTCTGATTACTTTGAGGAGAGAATCAAGTCGCAAGGTATATACTGATCCTTCTCCAGTGTGGATGGACCCCGACGAGGACCCGTGCTCAAACCCAGGTTGAGATGGTCTCACATTATCCCATGCATGCCACCCGCGGCGTGCTCATCCCGCAGGATGCCGTATTAAATGCGTACATTCAGGTAGGCGAGCAGAATTCTCAACTTTGATTGACGTACGTTTGTTTGGCCGACGACTTCTGTATTTGAACAGCTAGAATGTTATCTTGAGTATGGAATTTCTTGGCGGATCTACGGCTCATTGCACTTATGCACTGTCAGCATCGTCAATATGTCACCCACTGCTCCTGCGACAGCTTCTCCGCTACAGCAGGATGACCTCTCGGAAACTCTGGGTGTCTGGGACTCTAGATGTTGACGTTGTCGACCGCTCAAGCAGACGTGCAGCCTTGAAGCTAACCTATGATAACGAGAGACTCTCCAACGATCCCCCTTCCCTGTCTCCGATGTCAACCTCAAATGAGCGCGGCATATACTTGCGCATACACAGATGGCATGCACCAAAGCGTAGCTGGCGGGCGTCCAATATTCATACAGGTCTCTTTGCGACAATCGAACAGAGCTACACTTATCGTAACATCAAGCAATGTTATACAATTCCAACTGCTCAAGCAACCCCTTCCCCTTCGGCGACCACCCCAGCTGGTTCTTCGTCCACTCCGCGGACGCTCTGAAAGCAATCAACTGCAGGCGACCAACTGGCCCATACTCCTCCGGAAGCTTCTCCACTGGAACCACCTTGGTCTCCTTCCCCAGCTTCCGCGACAACACCTTCGCAACATCCTTGAGCGGCACACCCTCCTCCGCCAACCCATGCAGCGTGACCGGGTTCGGGAGATTCCCAGCAGGGATCTCAATCGCCCGGATGTACAGGTCCGCCATATCCTCAACCGGGCACGCGGGCCAGGCGTTATCCGACTCGGGGTACGCAACGTATCCCTTCTCCTTGATCTTCTCGATCTGCTGCTGCAAGAACCAGTGCGGTTCCGCCGGACCAAAGGTGATCGGTGCGAGTCGGAGTTGGATGACGGACAGACCCTTGGGGGCGTAGGAAAAGGCGAGGTCGGTCGACAGGTAGCGGGGTAAGTGGGGAGAGCGGTGCCCTTCGGTCTTCTCGTCGCCGTTCGGGGGAAGTCCGAGCGTCCCCGAGGCGATGATGAGCCGCTTGTTCTCGCCGCCCGCGGCGACGAGGGCATCAGCTATCGCCGCGATGACATTCCGGTCCTTCTCGCAAGCCCCTGCCCAATCCCCTCTAAATGCCGCATCGTGGTCGAACGCTAGATGGACGACGACGTCGGCGTCCTTGGATGCTTTCGCAACTGTTTCGAGGTCGGTGATGTCTCCCGAGACGGTTTTAGCCCCGAAGGACTCGACTTTGGCGAGGGAAGAGGGGGAGCGAGCGAGGCCGGTGACTTGGTGCCCGACCGCGACGAGCTTGGGGACGAGGGCTGAGCCGACGAGACCTGAGGCTCCTGTCACGAAGACCTTCATGGATGTTGCTTTGGTGTTAAGTGTGGAGTTTGGTGTCAGGCTCAAACGGAAGTCGGACGATGGGGAAATAAGGTCGCGACTGACGGTTATATAAGTGTGCAAGTCTCGAGCAGGTACGTACACGGCGTCCCCTCCAAGAGTTTCGGCTTCATGCCGCCACAACGCGCGTACGTAGAGCTCTCTGGAACGTCCATCTCAGCCCTGATGTTGGGGTAGGCGGAGGACATGATGATTAAGCATAGTCCGAGTGGTACGGGTTGGTCGTATGTCAAGATCAGAGTTTGATAACAAAGCGCGATCGAAACTGTGTTTACTTGTGTTTGTTTGTGGCAGTGTGCCACCTTCGACTGTTGGGATTTAGTTTCAATCCACTCCGTATCCAGGTGGATACCCAGGCTTGCGCCTTTCCTTGTATACTTCAGTCATTTCGAAACAGCCTACTGACGCTTGGTGTACGTCAAGAAGAGGGATACCGATATACAGTAAGCCTGGAGTCGCAAGGCATACTCCGGCGACTTTTCTAGTACCAGCAGAAGGTCTCAGGAATTCGAACTTCAACGCAGTCTGGCATTGACCGCAGTGATTGCGGCGTCTGCGGTTATCAGCACGCAAAAACTACGTGCTGCGTCTCGCCGTAACTCACTGAGTACGGTTCCCCCACCGTTTGCACCGCCGTCAGGGATATCATCGGTCTCACGCAGCTCGTATTCCAGATCGTACGTACAAGCTCTCAGCGTCAGAAAAGGTACAGGAACGAGTATCAGGAGTTCCTCCTCCTGGAACTAGTATCGCTGACGAAGACCGTTATCTACACGTCGAATGCTCATGATGCAAGACAGGCTGGGCGTTAAGTATTCAAGCGGGAGAAAGTCCAGGACTTGAGACCAGATTCGGTCGAGACCGCACTTTCTCGCCCTCGTCCTTTATTGCCTATTTATTTCCATGAGGCATCACTGACTCGGCCTTGCTTCATTTTATCAGCGAAGCGCAGAAGTGACGATGCGTCGATTTTACTTACCTGAACTTCTCACCGATAAGCCAGTTACCTCCCGTAGGTTACTCAGGTGCGCGTATCGATGCACCAAGCAAAGATATGATACTGACAATATCATTCCGTCAGACTGGATAGTGGTGAGCGACCGTTATATCAACAATTGTATGTATGATCCGCCGAATAGAAAATCTGACTGAGTCTTCAGGTCACATTCCAGAGAACGACTGGCTCGGTCCTACGTCCAACGCGGGCCATACAACGCGACATAGAATAACATGGGTTTATTATGGATTAGAGTGTCTGGCCGAAGCGCATCAAGGCTGGCCTGGTGCTTGAGGTAAGTGTGATGGGTCCATATCCCACCTCACGAATCGAGCTTGAGAACCTCTGCTGTTACAAAGCTCCATAATCTGGCCATTTTCCTTCGCGGACGCACAACGCCTCGGGGCTCCAACCCGACCTGGATGCGCAGGCATCCAGCTCAACTCGCCTTCGCCGACATTCCATATTTTCCGCCCACAATGTACAATGAAGATTACATGCCCGCTGTTCGCCAGCCGCTGATCGAGATCAAGCAAGGGCACGTTCAGGAAAACAACGAGCCCTGCGATGTGCCACGGAACACGTTCCCCCAGTTCTGGTGCGAGATGTGCTCCAGCCATAGAGATTGGGTAAACACCAGCGAGAATCACAGTATTGCCGCGGCGTACATCGGGAAGGGCAAGTCTGCGAGTGAAGCGGCGGGAATAGTCGAACTCAATAAGCGTTTCTCGCTCATTTTCTCAGTGCGCTGAAGCCTTTCGGGGTCCCTGCCGAACGGCGATCGGACTTGGGATCTCAGCGCGAACGAGAAAACGAGAAACAGCTCCTCGAGCTGTTTCTCTCGTTTCTCTGGGGCGGACTTTCAATTGCCATGCGCTGTACTGATGTACCAGGCTCTCGGTTGCTTATGTCTTGCCTAATACGATATGTTTTGGCTTGTTGTGACGCGCTGTTGGACGCGCACTAAGTTGTGTTCTGGCACCCTTGCAACTACTGAGCTAGGGCAGGGCCAGTATAGTGACCCTGCTGATACTGCCACATACCGTCCCAGTCCGCCATAGAATACAGCACGTGGGATGAGCACGAGCTATCTGTCAGCTGTGGTGTCTAGCATCCGACGAGAAATCCGCCAGAAAATGCACGCTCAATAACTTCGGGTTTCTCCGTGTCGCCGCGTCGGCAGGAGGGGTGCCAGTGCGCCCGAGAAAATGAAAACGAGAAACGATATTGAGTTGGGCTAATGTCCCCTACAAGACATTTGCTTCAGAGCTTGAAGCGATCGAATAACAGGAATGTACGATGACCTGCAGCTGGTTGATGGACTCTGTAATCAACTCAGCATGCCCGCAATTACCTGGACTTTTCGACACCTAGATTGCATGCAGTCAAACATGACCTATAGAACAAGTTGTATATGCATCCATAGCAGTGTTTCATGAGACTGATGGAACCTCTCAGGCTATGCTTCACTCTGCCTTCAACAACAACAGACCTATGACGCGCCCAAGAGGTAAAAACCCAGAAGACCTGGACATCAGGGGTCAGACATGCGTCACCATAGTTTACATGTACTCACCAATACAGTATGTCAGCACGGCTGTTCGAACAAACTGGCGACGGCTTGCATATCGTCCCGCTCTGATGAGTCTGAATCGGATTCGTCTTCGGTGTTGAAGTAATCGTTCGGGCCTTCCATGTCAGATAGGTCTGGAGCGACATATCTCCTGTCCTTCCCGTTGACATAATAATTGATTGCCTCGACATCCATCAGGGCAACGCCCACGCTGATATTGTCAATATGGCTTCGCAATGACAATCTCTTGATAGGCACTCGCGCTCGGGAGCGTACCCTCAGAAACTTCCTCAGCAAATCGTGACGTGGAAGTGACAGGATCAGATCCTCTAGACACGGCCACAGTTTACGATTACTCGAACGAGCAAGTAGACGAAGGAAGTTGTTCCCAGTACCTCTGGCAATACGGAAGGTCTTAATCCGTGGAAGACCTCTGAAGAAGTCGGGCGTCATAGTGACATCGATATCTCCGGCATAGAAGCCCCGGAGGACAAGCGACTGCACTTTCGGAAACCGTAAAGAACCGTCTGAAAGTCTCAAGCATGCTGCGACATCACCCGTGTCGTCAGGGCCCCCGAGGATAGCGTCGTCCAGGTCGATGTCGAGCGACGTCAGATTTGGGGGGTCAAGGATAGAACATATCCCGTTGAAGAACTCGGTCACTAAGGTCAGCGACTTCAGCGCTGGCAGATGGATGTACGGCTGTCTCCATAAAGTGAAGTCCGGCGAGCGAATCCATTCCACTGCGCCCTTGAATATAAAATGTTCCAGTGTGCCCAGGCAAGGTGCCAGGGCCAATCGCAGCGAAACTGGGCAAAGACCGGCACTGTATGGAATGCAAAGGTCCAAGGTTGTGAGGAACTGCAAACCGCGCCGATATTGAGGAAGCAGAGTACCCTTCATACGCAACGTACGCAGCCTTGGCATGCCACAAGAGAAAATGCGGCCACGGGTTGGATTAGGTCGGAAGATGTCAGCCCCGTCATCGCGATCTTGGGTGGAGAGACTACAGTACTCTAGTCTGGGCGCCGATTCTTTGTCGAGAAGTCTTCGCACACGGCCCAGCCCATGGCGACCAGTAGTGGTAAAATCGAGCAAGCGGACCCTACTGAGGTGGAGATGGAGTATATGCATGATTTCATTGGACTTTCCATGACCTTCTATCTCGTACCCGATGTCAATGGACACGTCGATGAGGCTACTGCGTGACCTCTCTATGTAGTTGAGAGGCCGCGACAGGGGCAAAGAACCGAAGAATTGAATTCTCGTCCACAGGGTCGGAGTGTTCACCGCAACTTCCCGCCAGCGGCGAGAAACATGGGATACTACCATCTCTACCGGAAATACGTCCTTCGCAGACCACTCGTTGACCGGAGTCGAAGACCAAGCAGCCCATTCAAATATAGTGATAAGGAGCTCGTCTGGCAGGGCATTGAGCTGGGACCATAGGACGAGCGTGTCACGGTGACGTGTGGATTCGGCCTGAAGTTTTTCCAGACACCTACACATATCATCAGATGCGGTACCCAGCTGCCGGAGGAGCTTTGGCGGCAAAGAAGCGGGACTGTCTCCCTGGAACCGTTTTGCATCTTCGACGAGGATGTCCAGACCATCCTTTAATGCAGAAATCGCCGTCTTTATGCGTGAAAGAGCTTCCAACCGACCCTGATATATCTCCATCGGAAAAGCCCTAAGCGTGGGTTTGCAGTAGAAAGTGAAGTTCAAGGAGGCAAGAATATGCTCAGCTTACGGACTCAGATGGCTTTGACTCTTGGGACCGAGATGAAATAAATCGGCTTCAGCAAATTTGCTACGAATTCAAGGAGTGATATCAGAGTCGAGGAGGAAGCTCGTGGCAAAGACTCAGGATATATAAGATTTTCGGTGATATCTGATTGGAAGAAATCGGGTTCGGGTTTCGTCTGGCCTACTTGTACCTCTTGGAAGAGAGACACCATAGCCGGGACGACGGTATCAGGGCCTCCGGAATATGCCGGGCCGAGTCACACGAAGTCGAAACTGAGCACTTCCAGGGACGATTCCATCGATAATCGTACTCTAAGTAGCTCTTCAATGAAGCGTAGAAGAACAAAGCAATATCAGAGGCAGCCTGTAAGCGTCATAAGCAGTACTCATATTATGCAGGCTACCACGTCTTAAGCTGCGTACACTCAGGTCGACCCTCCGACGAACATCAATCTGCCTTATGAACTCTTGTCCGACATATTCCTAACGGAATACGGCAGCTCTAATGTCAAAGGGATAAGTCTATGTCTTCCAGCAGCGTCTCAGGTGTCTCGCCACTGGCGGTACGTAACATTGGCCACCCCAAATTAATCTCTGGTCAGACGTACGACTTCGTGTGGATAAGCGCGGAGCTCACCCTGGCCAGAGCGAAATCCTTCAACTTTTCTTGGAAAGATTTGGGGAACATCTTATTGATATTTCACTTTTCTTGAGGGGCCATGAGGAATACGTCGACCGGTGTTTGGACCGGTTTACCACCATTCTCCTGGGCAATTCCACCCGCTGGCGCAGCGTCACCATAGTGAGCCAGGATTCCCTTGTCTTATCAGACTTTCTTGAAGATGCCCAGTGGGCATCCACACCGAAGCTGGTGCTGCTTGCTATTCAGTGCGAACATCCGTGGGACAATGCTGTCGGCTTTGGTCGAACTATGAAGCCTTCCGCTGAATGGGAGGTGCCGTCCTTGACGTCGCTTCGGTTGCAGGACTTCACGCAATACACCCTCTTCCCCGTGCAGCACCTCACCAGCGTATACTTATCGACGAGTATCTCGTCCACTGAAATCAGAAATTGCTGGTGGATTTGGGAGTTCAGGGCCATGCTCACACGCATGCCCAAATTGACGCATCTTACACTCGACCGTTTATCCTTCAAGCGTGGGCGGAGACCCGTACAGAGGATCACCGACAATGACAGGATTACGCTGCTATCCCTTCGCATCCTCAGGCTTCCCTTTCGGGCTCAAGGTATTACCAGCATGTCGGGGTTCATGAATTTTCAAGTATCGGGTGACTACGATGACATCCCCATCACTATCCTTCATTACTTGTTATGCCCATTACTCGACACCCTGGAACTCGCAAATTGTGGCTGGCTTAACCTTCGTCGAATCCACAAGTTTCCCCTTGTTCAATCCTTGACGTTCCAAGGCTTATATCGTCCCCTTACAGTCAGCCCGGTATGCGACTCATTTCCTGCGGTGAAGGAGCTGGCCATTGTTGGCGCCAATCCCCAAGCTCTGCAAGAGGTCCTCCCGATGCAGCGGTGGTCCAGTTGGCTTGAACTCCGCACCCTGACTGTCACAAGTGTCGACCTAGTACATAGACGAGGCATTCGATTGGATAGATTTCTTGACTTGGCGGAGCAAGTGCCGTGTACCCATCCGCAAGCTATGCCTCGATAGAAGCGTGATCGCAAGGCCTTCGGACCTCCTTCATCTGGTTGAACTGGAGACATATGAAGTAGCCGCTGTAGCACCTATTCACGACGAGGAGTCAACATCCGACAGCGAGTTTGATGATGACGATGATGACGATGACGGAGAGTGGGTTGGGTGAGTTTTTGCCTGAGACAACGCGGTCGTTCTTGTATGGACTGGAGCTCGAACGACGGCGCTCATGTATGCTCCCCCTGTACTGCCAGTGGTTGTACCTTTTTTTCCAAATGTGTATGCGAGATTGTGCACACCATATCCCGGAGGGGTAAACATAGTGATCCGGAGTTACAGCCAGCTGCAACTGATCATGCTAGTAAGTACTTACTTTTCGTTATCAACAGGTATCAGGAGCGCCAGGGAAGACAGCGAGGGCTCAATAGCAGGGAATGCAGGTAAGAGACATAATTGATCGAACAAGGTCCTGTATATGAAATTGCTGATTATCTGTGAACCACTTCAGAAGGCAGATCGCAGGACATTGCAAACAGAAAGCATATCAGCAACCCGAGCGGCTGGATTAAGGTCAAGTCTATTGACCACACCGACACTCCTAGACAAGGTCTCGCACCCAAGGTACCTACCGTTTATCTGCCCGTCTTAGAGGCACGTTGTCTCAGCAGTCTCCCCCAAGATATCGTGTGGTAGTGCGAGAATGATACTGACCACCCTCAGCTTCGCCTCCCGGCGCACGTTGTTGCACGTTGTTGCACGTTGTTGCAGCCTTGCTGCCCCACCTCCCCTCACTCCGGCCATACACGTCCACTCCTCGTCATCCATAAAGACCGTCACGGACTCGTTATCATCCCTTCCATCCGGTTCCTCATCATTCGTCGCATCGTTCGTTAACGAGACTTTCTTCAATACTTGCCCCTGGCCTCCAAGAATGTCGACAATGGCCCCGTGGTCCAACCAAATGAAACGGCTCTGGGTATCAACATAATAGACACAGTGAAGGAGGCTGGAGTAAAGCACTTTGTTTACTGCAATGTCGTGCATCCGTATCTATCAAAGCTGCTGAACCACCAAGTTAAGCTCTGGTGCGTCTCATGAATCATCCTTGTCCTGGGCAGCAAAACTTACACGGCGCCTAGAGTGCAAGAGTACTCTTTCCTACCCTATACGATCCTCCAGCCCACTTCCCGCGTGAAAAACTTTCCTCTCCCCCGGATCCTGGTTTCTCCCCCATTGGTTTCCGTGCTGCTGCCCCTACTCCACCACCACCCTCCAGGGCTTCCTCTACCCGCCCGACTTCGCCGAAATCGCTGTCAACATCCTGCTCGGCCCGGAGCCTCGCGTATTCGCGTTGCACCCCTTAGAGGGAGCGAATATTTCCCTGCATTCCATTGCAGATGTCATCAGAGGAGACAGATAAGCGGATGCAGTGCCTCACATTAGACAGGGAGGGCGAAGAAGGCGTGGAGGCGAGGATGTACGAGGAGGCTGTGAGGGAGTGATTTGCAGAAGCATTGGAGCGGATGGTGTGGTACTACGACAAACGGTATGTGTCGCTATCATGAGCCGACTTGACTTATTATCATTGATAGCGGTATCCCGGGAACAATGGCATTACCCGCTGGCTCCTCAGCCGCGAGCCAACGACATGGAGGGTGTGGGTGAAGAGTTTACAAACACCGTCAGAGTCTAAGTGGTCGGTTTCTTGAGTTGAAAGCGTAAGACAATATACTTCCCCTGTGTATGATCTTGACGAATCTTAGAAGCTTACCTAGATGCGTCAATAGGCAGACAGCGTCGCCACCACTGCGCATCACCGTGAAATCAATCTTCCTAGCTCCGGCGCCCACAGCAAATTTAGTCGGTGTTCGCAGACTGACGTACCACTGGGGCATAGCACCTTGTTGTTGCGTCTGTATAAGGTTCACGCCTGCCACTACCTCCTCGCCCGAGATTCACATCGCCGCGTTGCAGTCCCGGACATCGTAGTTGTAGCGACGTCCAACGACTGTTTTGGATTCTGATATCGGGTATCACACTCTTGCGCGTCAATCATAGCTGAACAAAGAAGTATGGCAGAGTAATACTGACGATCAGCTGCTTGACACCAGTGTCTGTTCGTCGGGATCAGAACTTCATTTGTCCGGACGGGTCCATGTATGGTTGCATCAGCCCCCGAGGATTGATAGATTTGCGACTGCATCCTTGGGACTTGTTGAAACCAGGACTGCGCCAGACTACGCTACAGGATAAGGTGCTGACTGGGGTGGGCATCAAGTTATGTATCAATGATTAGCTCCTTTCAATCGTCGGGACTGCAACTGCAGTGTTCATTCAATTTGTCTTCATCAGTCTCATAATACGACGAAAACGCTGGAAGATATCAGTGAAGCACGTACACTGCAGTTGTATGCGACCGCAGACAAATGAGCGATGAATCGCTCGGTTCTCAAGGAGTGGTGGACAGGTCTCCATGTCATCAGAATGATCTTCGGGGTCGTGGCGCCCGATGCGGAACGTGTGACGACGGCTACAACGACAATGTGGAGAGCTCGTAGGAGAAACGAGCCGCTCAGCCTGTCAGTTCATGCAGGGTCATGCGTTGAAATGGACGCTCTACTTGGGTTCATTTCCCCAGGCCTGAGGAATTACCAAATGAAGGGTAGTGGGTGGTCCAACCAGTGCTGATGGTCGTGACTCAGGAGAGTACGCCGCGAAACTTTCTCCGTTCCACCTGTCAGTATGGCTCATGCAAGCAGTCCCTTTCCAAATGACGACTGCCATCTTCTTTGATAAGGGTTTTTATCTAGAGGACAACCCTTTTCAGAGAAGTCAAGGGCAGAGGGTGGCGTATGCCGGGGGTCGAGACCTCCGTGCTGCGTTCAGCAAGGTGTTCCCGTTGCAAATTGTCCTGTCTGTGCGACACAAGGCGTTCTCCAGGTAAGGCAGTGAATAGGTGGGCTAAACGATGACACACCTATACACCCTATTGCCGGTCTTGAACACAGGCACACTGCAGGCAATGCAATGGGCTGAGTACGCTCGAGTTAGTCTAACTGCTGACCTTGATGCCCGTTGAGGCTTCACACGATATGAGCATCATGGGTAAGGTACATGAGTCGACACACTCGCTATACTCATTCGATTAGAGTGCAAGTAGCTGTCTTCATCCAGAATCCATCTACCGGGGCCTGGGAGAGATTGCTGAGGGGCCAGTCGCGTCCTGGCACGTTCGAGTACGAGGAACTGCTTAAGATCGTGCAGTTGGGATATCATACAGCGTGGTTGATACTTCATTGTTGATGGACATAGAGGGGTGAGGATTTAGCTGAATTTGCTTTCATTGGTCCCGGATGACTCCAGAGCAAAGATAAAAATGCGAAGGCAGGAAGGCCAAATGCGTCACAGACTCACAGGGCCTGGAATACCTTGCAGCTTCGCGCTCGATATAACGGGAAACCGTAGATCAGGACTTCAGTCCGCACGCAGAGCGGATCAACAACGTGACGTCGTCCTCATTAATTTCGGGGACTTACTTGTCAGCGACCTGGTAGTATGTGGCTGAACTTGCCAGTTCCAAGGATCGCAGAAACTTGTCTTAGCAGGGGATATTGATACGGCATTGACAGCAATTGGGATGAGAGACTATTGACGATTAGGCTACGACAGTGGAGCGGGAGACGGGCGTACACGTTGCGGGGAAAGAGGTGTAGAACCATAGAGACGATTGGAAGATAATTTAGCGTGTTATGGCTGCGGAGATCGTCAATTTCGGGGAAGGAGTAGCTTAACTGCGATATGAAAGCCCTCTGAATGTTAGATGCGGGCAGGTTGGGTTGGACGACCTCGCATGATTTACTGAGGGAGGGACGAACAGAGCCGGGCCTTCAATTACGGCATTATGCCGCAGATCATTTGTGTCGAATGTGCGTTTGGATGGTAGGGGAGGAGATCCTCAATTTACAGTAGCTTACACGTGAACGAGCAGGAAGGCCACACAGTCTTGATGAACCTTCGTATCTTCAGAACAGTAACTTGATAGATGTGCGAGGAACCTTGCTCATTTGATGCAGACGTGGTAATGAATGACGAAAAAAGCGGCCATGAACACAAGACATCATATGGGTGATGGGCGCAAATATACCCTAACCCAAGGCGGCAGGTCCGCGTCAACACTTCGCATTGGGTCTTAATGTCGGTCGAATGCGCAGGTTAACAGCGTTTGAACTGGTTCAATGTCTTGAGACGGTACCGACTTGACGAATGCGGCCTACACGTTGCAGAGAAAGTGATACTTAATGTCGAGTCGTGGCTTTCGGGCAGAAATGATGTCCCTCGCATAAAGGCCTGCTGACAGATACACGTCTCATAGTCTTCTTAAGGATGATGGTCTCCGGAGACACCAGTTAACTATTGATGTATTTCTGGGTAAAGGGCGTTGGCCACTAATGACAGGAAAGCGACTGGCGGTATTCGGGTAGGATGCCAAGAATATCGCGTATACCTTCCCACTATTGAGCTCACAACGATGAGGCAGAAGGTGCCTTATCCATCTAAACTCTCGAGCAGGCAGGCCTCCTAGAATTCACTGACCCTTCATTTCGGCCAAGCGAACTAGCACGAGAACTCCGGTGGGCAAGACAGGACTCCGCGAATGGCCTTGGGCTCTTAATTTGGGGGGAACCGTCAAGAGTGGACCCAACCACTGAAACTGCATGAGCGAGAGGTAAGTTCTCGACGTCCAAGAAAGAAATATCACCCACGGGAGAGTATTCATTTTGTGGGGTCTTCATAGCAGCATCAGTAACAGATGAGCTGGTCCCGCAACACAAGTGCAGTCCACGTATATGGGTCAATAATCAGAATCGTCGTAGTATCCCGACGCCCGCAAAGCAAAGAAAACCAGAGAGAGACCATTCAGAGAGGATCAGATAAGATATGCGCATACGTCGGCTTACTCGCGTAAACCACGCAGCACGATACCCGTAGAGACGGAGGACGTGCCAATATTAACATCTTCTCGAATCTCGTTCGATCGTGATCCTTGAAGTCGGGCCCTCATTTGCCAGAATGTAGGGACAAGCCAACCTGGGTAGACTGCCGCGGAGAAGATGCGGGGGAGGGGTACGGTTGCTGCGCCGAAGGCAGAAGCTGAGACTCCGATTCCCGAGCAAACTGTTCAAGAAATAAGCCTATTGTGCCAATGCTTTGAGTACACGGAGCAAACTCGTATTCTGAGGATCGCACCAGCAAGAAATTTATGGGTACCGCAAGAAGCGGGTATGTTACCCATTAGTGGACGAGCTATAGCGTCCAGCAAGTAACGAAGTCCCCCCCCCCTCATGCCCCAGAACAGCGTAAGGTTAGCTGAGCAAGATAAAGTTCACCGTTCAGATGCACGAGGTCCCAGCAAAGAGTACCGCAGCTCCCCGACGCAGCTGCTCTAGCCACAAACCCAGCGAGGAAGCTCATCCGAGGTAAATCAGATAAGGCATGATACACTGGCGCATCGCAGAGTCATATGCGGAGGATGTATATTAAGCTGCGCCGATAGTACCGCCGACCTGAGCATCTTAGCCGATCGTAATCCCCCTCGAACCAAGGGTCGGCGTTTCATCTCCCAGAGTACGGGGACGAGCTCACTCTGCGCAGGGGAGGGGCAGGGATAGCGCGAGCCGGTGGCAGAAGGCGCAGCATGTTCTGAGGATCGTATCAAGAGGATGATGGTGGCGGTAAGCGGATGGTAAGTAAGTCTGAGTATATTGCGGTCTCGTCAGGGCCTGCGCGGGCGGGGCGCACGAACTTGAAATGCTGCATAGCTGCAGCGCGTATGCCAGATCAAGAGCCAGGAGAGGAGTAGCGGGGTTCCAGTTGAATAAGTGACCGAACAGCACAAGCGAGCGTGGGCCACGTCCGTGTAGACCGATGATATGGAGAATCAGAACAAACGACGACGACAAGTCTCCGTGTTGGTACACTGCAAAGCATTGGTATACGATGTAAGTAAATGTCGTGTACCAACCGCAAGTGTACGCATGCGACGCCAAACTCAATGCGCTCGGTAAGTGCCGAAGACCCTCGCCTCGCGATGCACTACTGATGCACTGTTTAGACTTCTTGAAAATTGCTCTAAACTTCTAATGTGACGTGTTTGACCTAACGAAATGCAATCCTCCCTACAAAGTTGAGGACGCAGATTATGTAAGCGAGTCGCGCAGCGGCTCGCAAAGTGGACGCGGAGCCATTGCAGCGGATGCACCCAGACGGTCGCCCGACTATCATATTATCTCAGCATTGAATATTTCCAGTATGTCGCTAGTGCAGCGGTTAGTGTGATGGGTTACTTCAGATGTGGTGGTTTGAGCTCGAGGTTCAATCCCGGCCACGGACAATATTTTAGACTTGTGATGATGTATGCCTTTCTAGTTGTCTTCACTCTGTAATGCAACTTGGAAAATTTATTGTGTTCTGTCTCATAATGCAGTCATTCCATGGCGCCGATAGATGACATTGTGGCACTTTGAGTCCAGATAAGGGCCAATCTATACACAAAGCCTTTACTTGGTATTATACTTTGGGGTTCAGTTTGAAAAAATCAAAACTACATGTGTACTGATATACACAACCATTAAACTTCTCGTGATCAATGGGAGGTGGTTTTACCGGTGTACAACTAAGGACTTGCAGTGAGTACACAACCTCCTCACCGCCTTAGGACTCCCATTCCGAAAGCGAGTCGCCCCG